ACACATTGAAAAGCTAGATATTAACAAAGTCGTAATTAATCGCAGTAACAGTCCTATTTCTGAAGGTTTGAAATCCGTTTTAGCTAAAGGACTAAACTTTGCAGTCACACCTCGACACATACCAGTTAATGATATAATTGCTCGAGTAGATGTAGCTCTCAAGGGCTTGAGTCACATCGCTGCAGACGTAGCAAGATCCGAAATCTCTGTAACCCTCAAAAACGCTAAGATGCCAGCTAGCAACATCAGCAAAGAGGAGCGTTTTGAATTAGCTCAATTAAAAAAGAGGGATGACATTGTCATCCTCTCAGCCGACAAAGGCAATGCCACTGTCATCATGGACAAAATAGAATACAACAACAAAATTCAAGAACTACTAAACGATGGCAGCTATACAAAAATAAAAAGAGACCCCACCAACAGCCTCGTCTCCAAAACCAACAACATCATTTCTGCTTCAACCGCATTAATTGATCAGACCAAACAGTTCTCGTTGAAACCTTCTGCAGCCAGACCACCAAGATTGTACGGCTTGCCAAAGATACATAAAGAAGATACACCTCTTCGTCCCATTGTCTCTACTATCAACTCCCCCACTTACAAACTGGCTCGTTTTTTGTCCGAAATCCTACGGCCTTTCACTGGAAAAACCACCTCTGCAGTACTAAACTCTACTGACCTGGTATCGACAATCAAGGGGATTGCCCTGTCCCCAGACGACCTGCTTGTCAGTTTTGATGTGGTTTCCTTGTTCACCAAGGTACCTGTGCCTGACACCATCGCAATCATTGAAGACTTGGTTCATCAAGGACTGAATGCTGGGGTACCCCCCCTGGTGAGACACTGCTTAACCAATACATACTTCACCTGGAATGGAACCTTCTACAAGCAAATTGAGGGCACCCCAATGGGCTCCCCCCTATCTCCGGTTGTAGCCAACATCTTCATGGAGAAATTTGAGACGGACGCCATCCAGACTGCCACTCTACGCCCGACCTTATGGAAGAGGTACGTAGACGACACTTTTGTCATCTGGCCACATGGCCGGCCTGCTCTAGACCAATTTCTCGACCATATCAATTCCATACACCCAGCCATCAGATTCACCATGGAAGTCGAAAATGATGGCAAGCTACCCTTTTTGGATGTCCTAATCAAAAGGAGACTTGATGGTTCAATGAGCCACTCTGTCTACAGGAAAGCCACCCACACGGATGCTTATCTAAAACCGGATTCCCACCACCATCCATCTCAGAAGAATTCCCTCATCAAGACTCTATATCATAGAGCCCAATGCATCTCCGACCATGAACACATTTCCAGTGAACTCAAACACGTACGCCAAGCTCTTAAGGCAAATGGTTACTCCGACTATACAATCCGCAAAGCCATCACTCCAACCATCAAGAAGGATCCTGTTGAGGAGCCTTTCAAGACCATCACCTTACCCTACATTGCTGGGGTCACAAAAAAGATCTCCAAAATCCTGATTAAACACAAGATCCAGGTCCGATTCAACACAGTACATAAAATCCGTGATCTGGTACCGTCTGTAAAAGATGTGGTTCCAGACATACAGTACCCTGGCGTCTACAAACTAAGTTGCCTCTGTGGTAGCAGTTACATTGGGGAAACCAAACGACATGTCTCGGACCGCATCCGTGAACATAAAGCTGACCTGAAACACGGTAGGACTAACACCTCAGCCGTGGCAGATCACTGTTACAACTCAGTGGGCTCACATGATATTGACTTCTCCAAGACGGAGGTTCTCTGCAAGCCATCTGGCTATCATGAGAGATTCGTTCATGAGGCGATCCACATATACAAACACAGAGACAACTTTAACCGAGAAGATGGATTCTGGCTCAGCAATCATTGGAAGGACGTAATAAACCATTTCGATACACATTAGGGTGTGTAGAATAATACATAGTGTGATATTAAATGTATAAGATATAGGTTGGTTTACAGCAATACAGTATATAATTTAATGTTGGGTTTATCTATGGCAGTATATAGTACGGTATATGCTCGTGTGATGTAAGAGAATAAGGTTTAGATGGAAGCATATTATAGAATTTTTACGAGGTAAAATTGTAATGTATTACTTGCTGTTAGTAACTCAGCTTATTATAGAGTATAGTAAGTATACTGATGGTGCGATGCAGTTTATACTTTAGTTTTTTATGTAGTTTATACTTTAGTTTTCTACGTGGTTGTTGAGTAACTGCAGCTACATATCATTAACATTCCTTTCCTTTGTTACTGCTAATCCCTGCACCCCCCTTGGTTGCTGCTGATCCTGCATAATGCATGGGCATAATATGACTTTGACACCCCCCCGCCCAACGCCTACGCATTTTCCATGAATATGCTAAATCCCTCTTCACATGCACATTCTTTTTGTTAAGGCGCTCTTCAACCCCCAATGCAGCTTATATATAAGCTCCTAGTTTGGTAGTGTCTCATTCTTCACCTGAAGACGGCTGCTTGCGTTGTAGCCGAAACGTCGTGAGAATTGTTTTATTATGTTTTATTTTTATTATTTTATTACTTCCCTTCTACGTGACTTTACCGAAAGAAACAAGAAGATGAATCCCTGCAGTCACGAAAGCTTTAAATCGAAATTTGACCACGTAGTTCGTGAAGCCTTCAATAGCTGTACCGAGGGAATTTCCATTTGGTAGATATAATGGGAGGCTGATCGATGCCTGGGTGCGATCAAGGGATGGCTCCCTATTGGTCAACCACGTTATGTATGCCGATGATGTAGTAATAGCTGCTCATTCAGAGGAGGAGTTGGAGACGCTGCTGCTGAGACTGGAGAATGCCACTAGGAGGTGGGGCCTTACCATCAGCCCCACCAAAAACTAAGCACCTGCCTGGGTATTTTGTACCATTGGACACTCCACCCACACAACTCCCAATCAGTGATGGGGCAGTTGTGGAGAGAGTGGAGAGTTTCCCATACCTGGGCAGTGTGCTTATGACCGGCTCCAGTTTAACAGCAGAGGTCTCACTCCGAATCAGTCAAGCGGCAATATATTTTCATCGATTGCGTAACGCTGTGTGGAAGCTACCTGGTCTGTCACTCCGCACGAAGCTTCAGGTTTTCTCGGCCACAGTCATTCCCTTCCTTCTCTACGCTTGCGAAACGTGGACCTCCATAATGGAGCATCTTCGCTGGTTAGAAACATTTAGGCTGGCCTGCCTACGATCCATCCTGGGTTTTACCAGGCTGGATTGTGTGAGGAGCTCACAAATCCTTGAAAGATCTGGGCAAAGTCCCATCGGTGAGCTCCTCCGGCAGGCAAGGCTACATTGGCTGGGTCATGTAGCCCGCATGCCCAGCCACTGCATGCCTAAACAGCTTTTGTTCGGCCGGATCGAGGGGGCTAAACAGGCGTGACACGGGCTAGAGATGAGATGGAGTGATGTGGTACAGGAGGACATGGAGCTGAGTGGACTTGCCGAGGACTGGTACCAGCGGTGTCAAGATCGGGCTCTGTGGAGGAGGCTCGTGAAGGACGCCCTCCAACAACAACGGAGGGCGGAGGAGTGACGCTCACAACAACGAGCGGAGCGCCGGGTGGCAAAAGCACAGCAAGTTGGCACAGTAGGGGGCACAGGTGGTGCATCAGCCAGTCATCTCGGTCATCTTAGTCAATCGACCCGTGGCGCCTGGGTCTGCCCCGTGACCTCCTGCCAGCGGGCGTTCTACACTTCACGTGGCCTCAAGGTGCACATGGCCTGGCACAAACGTCGTGGTGATGTCACCGCCAATTAGTGGCGAATGGCTGTTGTTGTTGCGTGTGTTCACGTGCGTGCTTGTTCACGTGTGTGTGTTCACGTGTTTGTGCGTGTGTTCACGTGCGCGAGTGTGTTCACGTGTGTGAGTGTGTTCACGTGTGTGTGTGTGTTCACGTGTGTGCGTGTGTTCACGCAGGAGGAGGCAAGGGGGCTGCTTCACGCTGGGCCACCGTGGGAGAGTGGCACGCGAGGGCAGCTCCCAGCAAGCGCAAGGTCTCTGTGCACAGCGCACGGCACTCCTCTCGTTACAGCTGCTGCTGCTGCTGTTGTTGTCTTTAGTTTGTTGTCCTTCCCCCTCACCTCCCATTAACGAGGATGGCTACGTACGGTGCCAAATAAATGCAACGTACATACATACTACTAAACACTGCTATACCAGGGACGTGCGGTCAGGGGAGGCAGGCGAGGCAGAGTCTCGCCTGTCATATACTCCAATGAAAATAGCTGTTACGAAAAGTAAAAAGAAATGTTCCACTGATCCGTGTTATAAATGTAATTTCTGTATAATTCCAATCATTGCAGAGAAATAGGAACAGGCACGCGCTTATCGCTGCCTCACGTACAGACGAGACGTACGCCATGATACACCACTATACACTACACTATTCATGACTAAATACTACACGACACACTACACCATGATACACTACTATACACTACACTATACACTAATATACACTACATTACTATACACTAAACACCTAACGTACACACACACAACACGTACACACGAGACATTCGCCACTCCTCTCTAGGATCCGAGGTGATAGAACAGAACCTGAGAAGGGCGTAGACAAGCGTAGACACCGTGACCACGGTGACAATGACCACTGGGTTTGCAACGCGCGCAGACTCCACGAGACGGGCAGACGTCGATGTCCCATCGCAGACTCGGAGGTTACGGAGCTCAGAGTCACGGTTCACTGAGCTACAGAGTCGCTCTTTTTTTCACAAGCGGTACCCGGCTATCACAACTCATAGCTCAACGAAAGCGGCTGATATCATCATCACGTGGATATTTCTAGCGGGAGTCAAATACTCTAAAACGAGCGATCCGGATTCTCAATGTGACGGGAAAAACCGAAGGACCCAGAGAAAAATCCACGCAGCGACCACCACATCAGGGTCAGGATCGAACACATGACCTCCTGCGTACCAGGCGAGGTAGTTAACATCTCCTAGCTACCATGCCCCCTCTGCATGGCACTCTGGTACAACGTCTGGGCTTATTATTATAATTAGTTTATTCATTAGTTTAGTTGTGAAGAGGCTTGGCCTGCCATACCCACCGAGGTTCAGCATGACGGCATGGTTCTGCTTGATGTATGGAATCAGATTTACAGAATCAGAATATCAGAATTAGAATATGTATTGTACTGGAGGAATCCGATGAGGTGTCAGGGTCGAGATCGAACCCGCGACCTCCTGCGTACCAGGCGAGGGAGTTAACATCTCCTAGCCACCGCTGGTCACCGCACCAACTCCGCCCCCCACACCCCCTCCGCCCCCTCACCCCACCGCCCCCTCCGCTCAGACTAAAGCGGAAGCCCTGGAGTACGTGTGGAGCATCTTGCAGGGCGTGGAGGAGGAGCAGCAGCAGGAGGAGGAGTTCAGGGGATTTGAGCTGAGGGAGGTGCACAAGGCCAGGATGGCGATGTTCAGGCTGGAGCGCAGAGCCACCGCCTGCAAGGAGGCCCTGAGGGTGGCGCTCCAGAGGATACGTGGAGGTGCGTAGCCTGCAGCGGTGATTTCTATTCACACCAGAACTCCACACTCCCCTCTATTCCCACCAGAACTCCACACTCCCCTCTATTCTCACCAGAACTCCACACTCCCCTCTATTCTCACCGGAACTCCACACTCCCCTCTATTCTCACCGGAACTCCACGCTCCCCTCTATTCCCACCGGAACTCCACACTCCCCTCTATTCCCACCGGAACTCAACACTCCCCTCTATTCTCACCGGAACTCCACACTCCCCTCTATTCTCACCGGAACTCCACACTCCCCTCTATCCTCACCGGAACTCCGCACTCTTCTGTGGCTGCTGATGGAAGTCGCCACTGCTGTTGATGCTACTGCTACATATGCTCCTGTCAGTGCTGCTGCTGGTACTGATGCAGCCTATAAACTAAACGATGTTTCTTTTACCAGGGTAAGCCGCACTGAGCTGTGTAGATGTTTTTCAGAAGCGACCTGGCTATCACAAATGAGAGCTCAACGAAGTGACTTGTCATCATCATCATTACGTGGACATTTACAGCAGCCAAATACTCTCAACACGTGACGTTGATTCTAAATGTCGAGGGGAAAAACCGGAGGACCCGGAGAAAAATCCACGCAACCACGGGGAGGTTCAACACGCAAACTCCAAACATACAGCATGGGTCGTCAGGGTCGGGATCGCACCCACGACCTCCTGTATTCCAGGCGAGGGAGTTAACATCTCGCCACAGAGGAGAGAGAGACACGAAGACTCCAAATATACAGCAGGCTTCGTCAGGGTCGGGATGGAATCTGCGACCTCCCGTATACCAGGAGAGGTAGTCAACATCTCGCCGTGTTTGCCTGCAGGCTCCTCCGTGCCGCCGGCCTCCGCCCAGGCTGTGGCGGTGTCGCGCAGCGCTCGCTCTCGCTACGGCCTGCGCCCGCGCGAGAGGAAAGTCTACACAGAGGTGGAGGAGCCCCAGGACGACGACTTCTTCTGTGAGACCCCCTGCTCCCCCTACCTCTCTCTCACTTTCTCACAATGTCAGTTTGTCACACTCTCATACTCTTAGTTCTTTCGGTAAAGTCACGTAAGTAAAAAATGAAATAAAAATTTATAAAAATAAAATAAAATAAAAATCACGACGTTTCGGAGGCAACACAAGTCTCCGTCATCAGGTGGGACCATCACAGCCAGATTTGGTGCATTATTTTATTATTTATTTTATTAATTTTAATTTCATTTTTTACCTACGTGACTTTACCGAAAGAACTAAGAGTATGAATCCTTGCAGTCACGAAAGCTTCAAATCTAGAATGTCACACTCTCACCCATCAGTTTGTCACACTCTCACCCATCTCTCTGTATTGCTCCCGCACTCTCACTCGATATATTCCACTTGCTCCCTCTCACTCTTGCCCCCTTTCCCTCCCTCTCACACGCTCCCTTTCTCACACTCTCACTTACCTCTCTCTCTTTTGCTCCCTCACTCAGGGATGCAGGGAGGGATGCAGGGAAGGTGACAGGGTTTACATCTCCGATGAGCGAGCTAAAGAAGTTCCCCATGCAGAGAGGGAGGGAGGGAGGCATCTGTCTGGAGCGCTCCTCACCCTCTCACCCTCTCACAGTGCCACTGCTGCTGCTGCTGCTGTTGCTACTGCGGTTCACCCTCCTCCCGCTGCTGCTGCTGTGGCTCTCAGTCTGCGAGCTGTGCAGGGATTTCTACCTGGGGGAGTGCTCCGTGCACGGCCCGCCAGAGTTCATCGCGGACGCGGCCGTGGCCCCGGGAGTGGCCAACAGGGCCCGGCTCAGCCTGCCCCAGGGCCTCACCGTCGGCGCCTCCTCCATCGCCGGCGCCGGCCTCGGGGTGTGGAGCAACAGGAAGAAGCTGCCCAAGGGGGTGATGTTTGGGCCCTACCAGGGAGAGGTGTCTGAGGAGAACCCCATGAGCGAGTACTGCTGGCTGGTGAGCTGCTGCTGCTGCCACTGCCACTGCTGCAGCCTCCTCCTATTCCTACATCATCATCGTGTGTGTGGAGAGGAGGCTCGTGAAGGAGATACAGAGAAACCCATAGCCTCACACAGTCACCCACAGACTCACACAGTCACCCAGAAACTGGCACAGAGAGACCCAGAGACTTTGCACAGAGACCCAGAGGCTCGCATAGAGAGACCCACAGACTTGCACAGAGACCTAGAGACTTGAACAGAGACCCAGAGACTCACAGTGGGACACACAGACTCACACAGAGACCCAGAGACTCGCACAGAGAGACCCAGATACTCACACATAGGCTCAGAGAATTGCACAGAGACCCACAGACTCACAGAGAGACCCAGAGACTCGCACAGAGACTCGCACAGAGACCCAGAGAATCGCACAGAGACCCACAGTCTCACACAGAGACCCAGAGACTCGCACAGAGCCTTAGAGACTTGCACAGAGACTCAGTGACTCACAGAGGGACCCACAGACTCACAGAGAGACCCAAAAAATTAACGTAATTACGAGTTAAACTTGTAACCCACAGTAGCCGCTCGCTCGCAAGGACAGAACAACTTCAATGCGCGAGGAGGAACCACAGACAAGTGGTTCTGCCTCACGCACTCCTTACACACAAATAAACCATGATACCTCGCCGCTGATCTCGTCAAGAAGCATAAACCATCATCACGCAAACTCTGTTCATGCTCACAGATACCCATAGACTCACACAGAGACACATAGACTCGCACATAGACCCATAGACTCGCACAGAAACCCATAGACTCGCACAGAGACCCATAGACTCGCACAGAGACCCATAGATTCACACAGAGACCCATAGACTCGCACAGAGACCCAGAGACTGGCACAGAGAGACCCAGATACTCACATAGAGGCTCAGAGAATCGCACAGAGAGACCCACAGTCTCACACAGAGACCCAGAGATTCGCACAGAGACCCAGAGCCCCACACAGTCACCCACAGACTCGCACAGAGACCCAGAGAATCGCACCGAGAGACCCACAGACTCACACAGAGACCATAGAGACTTGCACAGAGACCCAGAGACTCGCATAGAAACCCATAGACTCGTACAGAGACCTAGAGACTCACCCAAAGAATTTCAGAGAGACCCCCAGAATCACAGAGAGACCCAAAAATTAACGTAATTCTAATTTCAACTTGTAACACACAGCAAAGACGGTGGTCACCGCATGGCGTGGCGCTTACAGATGCACTTCTGCGGCCGTCTGGAAGGTTCTTCCTTCCAATGTTAGGAAGCCACTGAGAGCTATGCACTTTTAAATCTTGTAGGTTGAAAACGCATTTCTTTAGAACTGATTTTGGTGTTTAGTTTGTTGTCCTTCTCCCGCACCTCCGATCAGCACGGTTGGCTACGTGCGGTACGAAAGAAGTTCAACTTACAGTCCAACTCACGTTAATTATCCGTGGATCTGCTCGTGTGCGTCTGTGTGTTTCAGATTTACAAAAACAAAAAGGATCGTGAATATGTTGATGCTCAGGATGAATCTAAGTCAAACTGGATGAGGTGATTTTTGTCTTAAGGACCACAACACAGAGACCAGAACCAGCACACACAGAGACCAGAACCACTACACACAGAAACCAGAAACCACTGCACACAGAGACCAGAACCACCACACACAGAGACCAGAACCACCACACACAGAGACCAGAACCACCACACACAGAGACCAGAACCACCACACACAGAGACCAGAACCACTACACACAGAAACCAGAACCACTACACACAGAGATCAGAACCACCACACACAGAGACCAGAACCACTACACACAGAGACCAGAACCACCACACACAGAGACCAGAACCACCACACACAGAGACCAGAACCACTACACACAGAAACCAGAACCATTGCACACAGATACCAGAACCACCACACACAGAGACCAGAACCACCACACACAGAGACCAGAACCACTACACACAGAAACCAGAACCACTACACACAGAGACCAGAACCACCACACACAGAGACCAGAACCACTACACACAGAGACCAGAACCACCACACACAGAGACCAGAACCACCACACACAGAGACCAGAACCACTACACACAGAAACCAGAAACCACTGCACACAGAGACCAGAACCACCACACACAGAGACCAGAACCACCACACACAGAGACCAGAACCACCACACACAGAGACCAGAACCACCACACACAGAGACCAGAACCACTACACACAGAAACCAGAACCACTACACACAGAGACCATAACCACCACACACAGAGACCAGAACCACTACACACAGAGACCAGAACCACCACACACAGAGACCAGAACCACCACACACAGAGACCAGAACCACTACACACAGAAACCAGAACCATTGCACACAGATACCAGAACCACCACACACAGAGACCAGAACCACCACACACAGACACCAGAACCACCACACACAGAGACCAGAACCACTACACACAGAAACCAGAACCACTACACACAGAGACCAGAACCACCACACACAGAGACCAGAACCACCACACACAGAGACCAGAACCACCACACACAGAGACCAGAACCACTACACACAGAAACCAGAACCATTGCACACAGATACCAGAACCACCACACACAGAGACCAGAACCACCACACACAGAGACCAGAACCACTACACACAGAAACCAGAACCACTACACACAGAGACCAGAACCACCACACACAGAGACCAGAACCACTACACACAGAGACCAGAACCACCACACACAGAGACCAGAACCACCACACACAGAGACCAGAACCACTACACACAGAAACCAGAACCACTGCACACAGAGACCAGAACCACTACACTCAGAGACCAGAACCACCACACACAGAGACCAGAACCACCACACACAGAGACCAGAACCACCACACACAGAGACCAGAACCACCACACACAGAGACCAGAACCACCACACACAGAGACCAGAACCACTACACTCAGAGACCAGAACCACCACACACAGAGACCAGAACCACCACACACAGAGACCAGAACCACCACACACAGAGACCAGAACCACCACACACAGAGACCAGAACCACCACACACAGAGACCAGAACCACCACACACAGAGACCAGAACCACTACACACAGAGACCAGAACCACCACACACAGAGACCAAAACCACTACACACAGAGACCAGAACCACTACACACAGAAACCAGAACCACCACACACAGAGACCCTGGGCCTCCCCTTGGTCGACTCGGCATCAAATGAGCACCCGGTACGGAGCGTGGTTCCAGCCACACCACCCCCACGTAGCGCCCAGTGCCGGCCCTTAATAGGCGCTCGCTAACGGCGCCCACCCCACCCCCGCGTCTGCCCGCGCAGGTTCGTCAACTGCGCGAGGAATGAGCAGGAGCAGAACCTGGTGGCCTTCCAGCACCGGGGGCAGATTTACTACCGCACGTTCCGTGCCGTGGGGCCCGGCTCTGAGCTGCTGGTCTGGTACGGCGAGGAGTTCGCCCAGGAGCTGGGCATCGCCTGCGAGGCCGGGCCCTCGCGACGCCGCAGCAGGAGCAGCAGCAACGAGATGGCTCCCAGGGCCACCGCCAGAGACCTGCAGCCCATGCAGCCTCCTACAAGCGAGGAACACTGTGAGCACCGCTCACCAGAGACTCGCCACTGCTCACCAGACTATAGCCACCACTCACCAGAGATGATAGCCACCACTCACCAGAGATGATTGCCACCACTCACCAGAGATTATAGCCACCACTCACCAGAGATGATAGCCACCACTCACCAGAGACGATAGCCACCACTCACCACACATTATAGCCACCACTCACCAGAGATGATAGCCACCACACACCAGAGATTATAGCCACCACTCACCAGAGATGATTGCCACCACTCACCAGAGATGATAGCCACCACTCACCAGAGATGATAGCCACCACTCACCAGAGATGATAGCCACCACTCACCAGAGATTATAGCCACCACTCACCAGAGATGATAGCCACCACTCACCAGAGATGATAGCCACCACTCACCAGAGATTATAGCCACCACTCACCAGAGATGATAGCCACCACTCACCAGAGACAATAGCCACCACTCACCAGAGATTATAGCCACCACTCACCAGAGATGATAGCCACCACACACCAGAGATGATTGCCACCACTCACCAGAGATGACAGCCACCACTCACCAGATATGATAGCCACCACTCACCAGAGATGATAGCCACCACTCACCAGAGATGATAGCCACCACTCACCAGAGATGATAGCCACCACTCACCAGAGATGATAGCCACCACTCACCAGTGATGATAGCCACCACTCACCAGAGATGATAGCCACCGCTCACCAGAGATGATAGCCACCACTCACCAGAGATGATAGCCACCACTCACCAGGGATGATAGCCACCACTCACCAGAGATGATAGCCACCACTCACCAGAGATGATAGCCACCACTCACCAGTGATGATAGCCACCACTCACCAGAGATGATAGCCACCACTCACCAGAAATGACAGCCACCACTCACCAGAGATGATAGCCACCACTCACCAGAGATGATAGCCACCACTCACCAGAGATGATAGCCACCACTCACCAGGGATGATAGCCACCACTCACCAGAGATGATAGCCACCACTCACCAGAGATGATAGCCACCACTCACCAGAGATGATAGCCACCACTCACCAGAGATGATAGCCACCGCTCACCAGACTATAGCCACCACTCACCAGAGATGATAGCCACCACTCACCAGAGATGATAGCCACCACTCACCAGAGATGATAGCCACCACTCACCAGAGATGATAGCCACCACTCACCAGAGATGATAGCCACCACTCACCAGAGATGATAGGCACCACTCACTAGAGATGATAGCCACCACTCACCAGAGATGATAACCACCGCTCACCAGAGACGATAGCCACCACTCAACAGAGATGATAGCCACTGCTCACCAAAGATAATAGCCACCACTCCCAATAGATGATAGCATCCACTCACCAGAGATGATAGCCACCACTCACCAGAGATGATAGCCACCACTCAACAGAGATGATAGCCACTGCTCACCAAAGATAATAGCCACCACTCCCCATAGATGATAGCATCCACTCACCAGAGATGATAGCCACCACTCACCAGAGACGATAGCCACCACTCACCAGAGATGATAGCCACCACTCAACAGAGATGATAGCCACTGCTCACCAAAGATAATAGCCACCACTCCCCATAGATGATAGCCTCCACTCACCAGAGATGATAGCCACCACTCACCAGCGATGATAGCCTCCACTCACCAGAGATGATAGCCACCACTCACCAGAGATGATAGCCACCACTCACCAGAGATGATAGCCACCACTCACCAGAGATGATAGCCACCACTCACCAGAGATGATAGCCACCACTCACCAGAGATTATAGCCACTGCTCACCAGACTATAGCCACCACTCACCAGAGATGATAGCCACCACTCACCAGAGATGATAGGCACCACTCACTAGAGATGATAGCCACCACTCACCAGAGATGATAACCACCGCTCACCAGAGACGATAGCCACCACTCACTAGAGATGATAGCCACCACTCACCAGAGATGATAGGCACCACTCACTAGAGATGATAGCCACCACTCAACAGAGATGATAACCACCGCTCACCAGAGACGATAGCCACCACTCAACAGAGATGATAGCCACTGCTCACCAAAGATAATAGCCACCACTCCCCATAGATGATAGCATCCACTCACCAGAGATGATAGCCACCACTCACCAGAGATGATAGCCACCACTCAACAGAGATGATAGCCACTGCTCACCAAAGATAATAGCCACCACTCCCCATAGATGATAGCATCCACTCACCAGAGATGATAGCCACCACTCACCAGAGATGATAGCCACCACTCACCAGAGATGATAGCCACCACTCACCAGAGATGATAGCCACCACTCACCAGAGACGATAGCCACCACTCACTAGAGATGATAGCCACCACTCAACAGAGATGATAGCCACTGCTCACCAAAGATAATAGCCACCACTCCCCATAGATGATAGCATCCACTCACCAGAGATGATAGCCACCACTCACCAGAGATGATAGCCACCACTCAACAGAGATGATAGCCACTGCTCACCAAAGATAATAGCCACCGCTCCCCATAGATGATAGCATCCACTCACCAGAGATGATAGCCACCACTCACCAGAGATGATAGCCACCACTCACCAGTGATGATAGCCACCACTCACCAGAGATGATAGCCACCGCTCACCAGAGATGATAGCCACCACTCACCAGAGATGATAGCCACCACTCACCAGGGATGATAGCCACCACTCACCAGAGATGATAGCCACCACTCACCAGAGATGATAGCCACCACTCACCAGTGATGATAGCCACCACTCACCAGAGATGATAGCCACCACTCACCAGAAATGACAGCCACCACTCACCAGAGATGATAGCCACCACTCACCAGAGATGATAGCCACCACTCACCAGAGATGATAGCCACCACTCACCAGGGATGATAGCCACCACTCACCAGAGATGATAGCCACCACTCACCAGAGATGATAGCCACCACTCACCAGAGATGATAGCCACCACTCACCAGAGATGATAGCCACTGCTCACCAGACTATAGCCACCACTCACCAGAGATGATAGCCACCACTCACCAGAGATGATAGCCACCACTCACCAGAGATGATAGCCACCACTCACCAGAGATGATAGCCACCACTCACCAGAGATGATAGCCACCACTCACCAGAGATGATAGGCACCACTCACTAGAGATGATAGCCACCACTCACCAGAGATGATAACCACCGCTCACCAGAGACGATAGCCACCACTCAACAGAGATGATAGCCACTGCTCACCAAAGATAATAGCCACCACTCCCAATAGATGATAGCATCCACTCACCAGAGATGATAGCCACCACTCACCAGAGATGATAGCCACCACTCAACAGAGATGATAGCCACTGCTCACCAAAGATAATAGCCACCACTCCCCATAGATGATAGCATCCACTCACCAGAGATGATAGCCACCACTCACCAGAGACGATAGCCACCACTCACCAGAGATGATAGCCACCACTCAACAGAGATGATAGCCACCTGCTCACCAAAGATAATAGCCACCACTCCCCATAGATGATAGCCTCCACTCACCAGAGATGATAGCCACCACTCACCAGCGATGATAGCCTCCACTCACCAGAGATGATAGCCACCACTCACCAGAGATGATAGCCACCACTCACCAGAGATGATAGCCACCACTCACCAGAGATGATAGCCACCACTCACCAGAGATTATAGCCACTGCTCACCAGACTATAGCCACCACTCACCAGAGATGATAGCCACCACTCACCAGAGATGATAGCCACCACTCACCAGAGATGATAGCCACCACTCAACAGAGATGATAGCCACTGCTCACCAAAGATAATAGCCACCACTCCCCATAGATGATAGCATCCACTCACCAGAGATGATAGCCACCACTCACCAGAGATGATAGCCACCACTCACCAGAGATGATAGCCACCACTCACCAGAGATGATAGCCACCACTCACCAGAGACGATAGCCACCACTCACTAGAGATGATAGCCACCACTCAACAGAGATGATAGCCACTGCTCACCAAAGATAATAGCCACCACTCCCCATAGATGATAGCATCCACTCACCAGAGATGATAGCCACCACTCACCAGAGATGATAGCCACCACTCAACAGAGATGATAGCCACTGCTCACCAAAGATAATAGCCACCGCTCCCCATAGATGATAGCATCCACTCACCAGAGATGATAGCCACCACTCACCAGAGATGATAGCCACCACTCACCAGTGATGATAGCCACCACTCACCAGAGATGATAGCCACCGCTCACCAGAGATGATAGCCACCACTCACCAGAGATGATAGCCACCACTCACCAGGGATGATAGCCACCACTCACCAGAGATGATAGCCACCACTCACCAGAGATGATAGCCACCACTCACCAGTGATGATAGCCACCACTCACCAGAGATGATAGCCACCACTCACCAGAAATGACAGCCACCACTCACCAGAGATGATAGCCACCACTCACCAGAGATGATAGCCACCACTCACCAGAGATGATAGCCACCACTCACCAGGGATGATAGCCACCACTCACCAGAGATGATAGCCACCACTCACCAGAGATGATAGCCACCACTCACCAGAGATGATAGCCACCACTCACCAGAGATGATAGCCACTGCTCACCAGACTATAGCCACCACTCACCAGAGATGATAGCCACCACTCACCAGAGATGATAGCCACCACTCACCAGAGATGATAGCCACCACTCACCAGAGATGATAGCCACCACTCACCAGAGATGATAGCCACCACTCACCAGAGATGATAGGCACCACTCACTAGAGATGATAGCCACCACTCACCAGAGATGATAACCACCGCTCACCAGAGACGATAGCCACCACTCAACAGAGATGATAGCCACTGCTCACCAAAGATAATAGCCACCACTCCCAATAGATGATAGCATCCACTCACCAGAGATGATAGCCACCACTCACCAGAGATGATAGCCACCACTCAACAGAGATGATAGCCACTGCTCACCAAAGATAATAGCCACCACTCCCCATAGATGATAGCATCCACTCACCAGAGATGATAGCCACCACTCACCAGAGACGATAGCCACCACTCACCAGAGATGATAGCCACCACTCAACAGAGATGATAGCCACTGCTCACCAAAGATAATAGCCACCACTCCCCATAGATGATAGCCTCCACTCACCAGAGATGATAGCCACCACTCACCAGCGATGATAGCCTCCACTCACCAGAGATGATAGCCACCACTCACCAGAGATGATAGCCACCACTCACCAGAGATGATAGCCACCACTCACCAGAGATGATAGCCACCACTCACCAGAGATGATAGCCACCACTCACCAGAGATTATAGCCACTGCTCACCAGACTATAGCCACCACTCACCAGAGATGATAGCCACCACTCACCAGAGATGATAGGCACCACTCACTAGAGATGATAGCCACCACTCACCAGAGATGATAACCACCGCTCACCAGAGACGATAGCCACCACTCACTAGAGATGATAGCCACCACTCACCAGAGATGATAGGCACCACTCACTAGAGATGATAGCCACCACTCACCAGAGATGATAACCACCGCTCACCAGAGACGATAGCCACCACTCAACAGAGATGATAGCCACTGCTCACCAAAGATAATAGCCACCACTCCCCATAGATGATAGCATCCACTCACCAGAGATGATAGCCACCACTCACCAGAGATGATAGCCACCACTCAACAGAGATGATAGCCACTGCTCACCAAAGATAATAGCCACCACTCCCCATAGATGATAGCATCCACTCACCAGAGATGATAGCCACCACTCACCAGAGATGATAGCCACCACTCACCAGAGATGATAGCCACCACTCACCAGAGATGATAGCCACCACTCACCAGAGACGATAGCCACCACTCACTAGAGATGATAGCCACCACTCAACAGAGATGATAGCCACTGCTCACCAAAGATAATAGCCACCACTCCCCATAGATGATAGCATCCACTCACCAGAGATGATAGCCACCACTCACCAGAGATGATAGCCACCACTCAACAGAGATGATAGCCACTGCTCACCAAAGATAATAGCCACCGCTCCCCATAGATGATAGCATCCACTCACCAGAGATGATAGCCACCACTCACCAGAGATGATAGCCACCACTCACCAGAGATGATAGCCACCACTCAACAGAGATGATAGCCACTGCTCACCAAAGATAATAGCCACCACTCCCCATAGATGATAGCATCCACTCACCAGAGATGATAGCCACCACTCACCAGAGATGATAGCCACCACTCACCAGAGATGATAGCCACCACTCACCAGAGATGATAGCCACCACTCACCAGAGATGATAGCCACCACTCACAACAGATGATAGCCACCACTCACCAGAAATGATAGCCACCACTCACCAGAGATGATAGGCACCACCCACACTGATAAGGTGCAAATGAGTAACTGGTGTGGTGTGTAGTAGTAAACATCGCCACTGGGGAGACAAAGGCGGCCATGTGTGGTGCTGGCCACCCTCCCACTCATGTGCCATGCTGGCTTTCATACAGTGAGGGAAAAAAGGATTTGATCCCCTGCTGATTTTGTACGTTTGCCCACTGGCAAAGAAATGACCAGTCTATAATTTTAATGGTAGGTTTATTTGAACCGTGAGAGAAAGAATAACAACAACAAAAAATCCAGAAAAACGCATGTCAAAAATGTTATAAATTGATTTGCATTTTTTTTTAAATCAGCAGGGGATCAAACACTTTTTTCCCTCACTGTAGGTGCCCGATAACAGCACTTGTCCCAAAAGTATATACAGGCTATATGGGGGTTCTTCGTCTTTGTGTGTATATATAATGGAGCCCACTGCACTACGAACCCGGCCACCTGAGTTCGATTCCCACTCACGGCCAACGTCAGTGGTGAATATTTAGGCCTCCCCTAGGCTGACTCGGCCTCAAATGAGTACCTAGCTTAAACGTGGAAACATCGCCACTGGAGAGACAAAGGCGGCCGGGCCTGGTGTTGGCCACCTACTCCCTCGTGTGCCATGCCGGCCTTCATAGGTACTCGCAAACAGCACTTGCCCAACATTCTGATATGGCTGTTGGGGACCTTTACCTTTGTATGTACACACACACGTGTGCAAGAGTGTTCATGTATCGGTGTTGGTGTGTGCGCGTGTGTCTTGTGCCTCTGGGATGACGCAGGTGGAGTGGGTGTGGAGGTGACAAGGCTGCCGTGTCCTGTCTGCAACCGTCAGTTCATCTGCCGCTCGAGTCTACAGTATCACGTGCAGAGCAGACACCCCACTAAGCCCAGTAACAAAAGTCATCAGTGTGACCAATGTCCATTCAGCACAGACTACAAGTGTAGCTTGAAGATGCACCAGAGAACACACACGGGAGAGAAGCGGTTCAAGTGCACCGTGTGTGAGAAGGCGTTTTCACAACTACCAAATCTTCACAGCCACCAGAGAACACACACGGGAGAGAAGCCGTTCAAGTGCACCGTGTGTGAGAAGGCGTTTGCACGGCTATCACATCTTCACAGGCACCAGAGAACACACACGGGAGAGAAGCCGTTCAAGTGCACCGTGTGTGAGAAGGCATTTGCACATTTACAACATCTTCACAGCCACCAGAGAACACACACGGGAGAGAAGCCGTTCAAGTGCACCGTGTGTGAGAAGGCATTTGCACATTTACAACATCTTCACAGCCACCAGAGAACACACACGGGAGAGAAGCCGTTCAAGTGCACCGTGTGTGAGAAGGCGTTTGCAGACCCAGCAACTCTTCGCCGGCACCAGAGAACACACACCGGCCAGAATGCATTTTCTCATTCCCGTGAAAACAGAAAAGTCAGCCATCCTGAGCAAAACGCGCACAGCGCCGAGCTGTGATTTAGTTTTAAACAACAGGCCACGTGATTAGCTGAGGCTGTGCCACTCTTGAAACTGATTTAAAATGAACACGGAAACCTACGGACCCTCCTACACCTGCCTCACACTCTGTGGGGGGTGGGAGATTAAACCGACCCGGCCACCCCTCGATTGCAAGTGCGGAGTTCTAGGTCCCAACCACTGCACGTCCCCCCCCCCACCCCCATCACCTGGGGGTCCCTGTGTGTGAGTGTGCAGAGTCCCCCGTGCAGAGCTGCACTGTTGTTACCCTAGAGGGGGGCACCGCAGGGCGATCCACCTACAGATACCCCAGTCTGCACGTCTCCCGCCGGTCTCCATGCGCACCGCGTGCCGTCTCGTAGCCCTGCCCCGTGCGACGTACGTACAGTACGTACAGTACGTACCCATCCAGCGGTAGACTGAACCGCGGCCGATGACGAAGGTGGCATCCGCTCACAAATCTCCGAACACTCAGTCCAGAGGTCGCAACCGGGTACCCGATACCCGTACCCTACGGTCACTGGTGAGTAACTGTCACTCATTTCCCAACGTCTTGTCTCTTCTCACAATTCAAGTTCCTAGAATCAACCCACCCGCGCCTGCAACATGGCTTCACCCCAGAGGTCGCAATCAGGTACCCGATACCGGGTACCTGTTTACGACGCTGGTGCGGCCGGGTACGGGTAAGGAATCAAAACCCGTTTGCGACCTCTGACTCAGTACCGTAGCCCCGAGCCATCGCTTGTGCGCTATTCACTTTGCTGCTGAGAGGAAAGCTCCGAGGAGGAGGTGGGGGGGAGGGTGTTGCTAGGAGAGGACATCTGTGGAATGGCTGGAGATCTGCGAAGAAGAGCTTCATAGCTCATCGGATTCCTGCGGTATGAAAAAATATTCCGAGAGGGCGTTGGGAGGGGGGGGGGTGTAGGTATGAGTGGGGCATCTGCACTTGGATCACCCTGCGTGTTGTTGCTGCCTCCCCCGTTGAAAATGTCCCCAGCGTGAACTTCACCCTTTGCCGTCGCGACGACGCCGCGCGTCGTGCGTGAACGTCGTCGTCGTGGGAACAACAAAACGCAGTAAAAACTAAAGTAACTTTATCGGTACCGAGGCTCCCACAGGGCCACGCGGGGCAGGGATTGTGGCACAGTTTTGGCGCCGGCTCGCGCAGAGTGGCGGCGGTCGTGTCGCTATGCTTCTCTGCGGTGAGCAACGGCGTCTTTATAACAACAGCAACAGCAGTGCTGCTGCTGCTGCCACTGCTGCGCCTCTAAATAAAATAGACGAGGGCGAGCCGCTCGCTCGATTCGCGTGATTCTGCGGTGAACGGTGACACCCACCCCGTGAACGGTGACGCCCACCGACCCTGCAACTCTGCAGACGTCTCGGACGCGGTAAAGGGTTGAGAGATTCTCTGCGTCGTCCCGGTTGCTCGCGTGATGTCGCACGGTGGTGGCGCGCGTTGACTCTTACACGTTTAAGAAAGTTGAGCGTTAGTTTGTGATTCTGTTTAAAATTATATAGGTACATACTTAAACTAACAAATTATCTTGGGATTTTACCAAGTAAGGTCCAACTGGATACGTAGTAGCTCTTTTATCAGACGCGACCATCTGGCCATCACAAGTGAAAGCTCAACGAAGTGGCGTATCATTGTGTGGACATTTATAGCGGTCAAATACTCTGATTGCGTGATCTCGATTCTAAATGTCGAGGGGAAAACCGGAGGACCTGGAGAAAAATCCACACGACCACGGGGAGAGAGAGATACACGCAAACTCAAAATATACAGCAGGCGTCTGGGTCGGAATCAAACACACGATCTCCTGTATACCAGGAGAGGTAGTTAACATCTCAACATGCGTTCAGAGTATTTGGCTGCTGTAAATGTCACGTGATAAGCCACTTCGGTGCGCTGCTGTCATTTGTGATAGCCAGGTCGCTACTACACAGCTCTGTGGGGGCCTTACCTGGAAAAGTAAAGTGAAGTGAAAAACTAAAATCTACTGTATTCTTGGTTCTTTCGGTAAAGTCACGTAGAAGGGAAATAATAAAATAATAAAAATGTAAGAATAAAATTAACACGACGTTTCGATTGCAACACAAGCAATCATCATCAGGTTATGAAAACCACAGCAAAAAAAATATTGCTGTGGTTTTCACACCTGATGATGATTGCTTGTGTTGCAATCGAAACGTCGTGAGAATTTTATTGTTTTATTATTTCCCTTCAACGTGACTCTACCGAAAGAACCAAGAAGATGAATCCCTGCAGTCACGAAAGCTTTAAATCGAAATTTTACATCGACTTTGATTGCTTCAACCAGAATAACTGTAATAATAACCCTAAAATGCTTCAATTGATCAAATTGAGATGCTTACATTTATACGCTTTTTAGATATCGATTGAAGTTCGTTGTCGGCTGTTCTCTTTATGGATAATTGCCTTTGAACTTTCACATGGGGCATATTCTGCCCTGGAGAGGGGGTATGGTCTGGACCAGTCTAGTTTAAACCCCCGGGTCTAGTTTAGCCTAGGACACTTTATCCCCCCGGGTATACTCTGGCCTGGGCCAAACTATACCCGGGTTTAATCGGGGCAGGGTTTTTTAAAAAATCCTTTATATTAAGTTCACTTGCTTGCTTGCTTGCGCGCTTACGACCGTGCAAATCTTTCAGTCGTTTTTAACCCACTTCCCGTGATCGAATTGAGTTGACATTTTTCACACAGACTCGTTGTGCGTGACAATTTATTTTCGTGAAATTTTTTTTCCAAAATTTTCCACTTTTTAGGAATTTTTTTTAATATTTAATTACCAATTGCTTAATGGTGGCAGGCAATCATCTGACCCATAGGTGGCAGTCATCTCAAGCCAGAGGACGAGAGGACTCTAGCCGCCACGCATATAAAGGATTTATAGTGAAAAACTTTGTTTTTACGGGTTAATTTTTAGCCTGTTTCACCGGTATCTCCAGGAGGTCGGAGCGACTTGCTCTGCGGTAACACTTTTCCGTGACAGAGGTTTGGTTTTTGTTGTTGTTGTTGTTGTTGGGTTAGAGATCTCGTAAATATCAACATTGTGTCGTTAACCCACCACCACCCACCACCATCGCCTGACACGGCCAATCAGTCAGGGTTTGTCACGTAAACGAAACGTGCCAATTGGTTACCAACTTCAGCACACACAGCGCTTGTGTGTCGGGGAGAGTGAACCCACAACAGCATTTACAATTCGAGTGCTGGTGACGTTTTACAAACAACGGCGACCGGTTTCATCGGGCGATGTGCCAGGATTGTGATCCAACGCCATCTAACCCAGCAGCAGCAGCAGCGACGACAACAAAAACCTTCATCACAGACACCGCTGGTCGCAAGAGACTGCGCGTGGCGCTTTGTGTTGCCGTTGCCACGAATCGTCGAAGCGCGTTCACGATCTGTTGTTCTCCTGTAACGCGGTGGTCATTTCGATTTAAAGCTTCTTTCGTGACTGCAGGGATTCATCTTCTTGGTTCTTTCGGTAAAGTCACGTAGAATGGAAATAATAAATAATAAAAATAAAACAAAGTTATTGTTGAAAGTTTATTATTTTATTATTTAATAATAAAGTAATAAAAATGCTATTTAATAATAAAATAAACAAATTTAAAACAATAAATGAAGTGTTGTATTTTTATTATTTAATAATAAAATAATTATATATTTTCTTTAATAATAAATTAATACCAATAAAGCTTTTTTCCCCTTTTTATTATTTTATTATTTAATAATAAAATAATAGGCTTGTTATTAAATAATAATATAATAAAAATACACCAATTATTTTATTGCTTTATTTTTTTATTTCCATTCTACGTGACTTTACCGAAAGAACCAAGAAGATGTGGTGGTCATTGTTGCGTTCCTGAAGAACACCGCGTTGTGGAGAAATAATATAAACTATAGGGGGTGAAGCGTGGTCCGCGACAACACGCGAGATGATGGGTAAGACAGAGGCCGGACTACGACTGAGGCGCGTGGGTAGCGTCTAGAAGCAGCATCCAGCAGCATCCCAATGCCTCCTCGCGTGATGCCGCTACGCCGAGGCAGCCGCACGGAGAACCGCTTGTTCCTACTCGCGTTGCGACCTCGTTCCGTTCGCTCGCTCGCGTTGCATCCAATCCGCATCCGCGTTACAAACAGCGTGTTCCCCTACACATCATTCACGGCGTTATATCATCCAATCGGCGTTGTTCAAACTAACACGCGGCGTTGTAGGAGAACCAGACTGTGCCGTTGTCTTCTGCTGTTTAACGCAGAGGCCGCATCGACCGTTCCAATAGTCGCTGTAGCCACTGCGAGCCCCAAGCTGTCGGCTCCCGGCTCTTAAACTGCCCCCCCCCCCCTGGCGTTATCTGTAATCGTTACACACAGCAGCACCTGGTCACAACTGCTCACTGCTAATCCTAACAACACCAATCCCAGTCGTCAACCCTGCACCTCAAGGATGGTAAAACTATGACCCAACAAAATTACACATCACACTGTCCTACAGACTTCAATTCACACGCCCCTACAGACTTCAATTCACACGCCCCTACAGACTTCAATTCACACGCCCCTAAAGATGTGTTTTGGTCATGTGCCTACCTTTCCTATACTCTGCACTGCTACGGTGTTTATTGTGTTGTGTTTGTTGTTGTGGCGTTCTGACCACGTGCCCCTACTGGACAAAGAGCTTCACAGCTCATCGGATTCTTCCAGAATAAAAATTTAAACTCTTAAAACTGATGACGTCACTGCGTGGTGACGTCACGCGTCTCGCCCCCCCACTCCCCTCTCCCCTCCTCCCCCCCACCTCCCCCCCCCCCCCACTCCCCCCCACCACCAACCGCCGCCATTGGCCACTGAGTGACGGTGACGTCACCACGGCGCCTGTGCCAGGCTGGGTGCACTTCGAGGCTGCCGCGTGAAGTGTCGACGGCTCGACACTGAGGTGGTGACGTCACGCGAGCGTTGTGTTTAACGATTTAACCACGTGACGATATTACGATATTAGCGTAAAGATATGAGCATTAGCTGAAGTGATGTGAATACGTTCGGATTACCTCAAGTAATGTTACATTTACCTGAGGCGATGTTACCTCCCGCGAGGTAAAGTTACGTCGCCTGAGGTAAAGTTACCTCACCTTCCATTGCATTCCGATTACCTTACCCTGAGGTAATAATCACGCGATAATTGTGTTTAATGATTTAACTACGTGAGAATATTACAATATGGGCATTAGCTGAAGTGATGTGAATACGTTCGGTTTACCTCAAATGTTACATTTACCTGAGTTAATGTTACCTCACATGAGGTAAAGTTACTTCACCTGAGGTAATGTTACTTTACCTCGGATAGAGGTAACTTTACCTCTACCTAAGGTAAAGTTACCTCACCTGAGGTAATGTTACCTCATCTGAGGTAAAGGTTACCTCTATCTTAGGTAACCTGAGGTTACCTCAGGTGGAGGTAAAGCTGGAGCTAGTACGTCATGGTAGAGGTGGGAGTTCACACACTTTACCACAAAGACAAAGATCCCCCGTGTAGCCTCTAACAGGCTGTTAGCGAGCAGCACCTACTAAGGCTACCGGCGCTGTGGCACACGAGGGGTGGGTGGCCAGCACCACGCCCGGCCGCCTTTGTCTCCCCAGTGGCGATGTTCACACACCGCTACACCGGGTGCTCATTTGAGGCTGAGTCGACCTAGGGGATGAGGTCCACGACCGGTTCAGATGATCGTCACCGCTGTTGGTGGTGGCCGTGAGCGGGAATGGAACTGGAGTCTCTGACCGGTCCTGGGCCTCTTCCCCTAGGTCGACTCAGCCTCAAATGAGTTCCTGGTGTAGCGGTGTGTAGTGAACATCGCCACTGGGGAGACAAAGGCGGCCGGGCGTGGTGCTGGCCACCCACCCCCCCCTCGTGTGTCGTTCCGGCCTTCATAGGCGCCGCTCGCTCACAGCGCTTGACCCGACAGTCTGTTAAGGCCACACGGGGGATCTTAGTCTCGTATCCCTGTGACTCTGTCTCCATGTGACTCCATCTCCGTGACTGCGTCTGACCGTCGTCCGCGTCTCGTCCCTCCGTGTCTCTGCGCCTCAGCAGCAGCAGCAGGAGATGGGCGACTTCCGAGACATCAGAGGCTTCTTCACCAAGGCCGAGTGGAGCGATCTGGCCGAGTGCGAGAAGCGGCGCTACAGGAACATCAAGCAGAACCACGCCGTCCTGCTGAACCTCGGTGGGTACGGCAGGCCGAGCCTCTTCGCAACTAAACTAATTCATCTTCTTGGTTCATCTTCTTGGTTCTTTCGGTAAAGTCACGTAGAATGGAAATAATAAAATAATAAAAATAAAACATAATACAATTATTTTATTATGTTTTATTTTTATTATTTTATTATTCTACGTGACTTTACCGAAAGAACCAAGAAGATGAATCCCTGCAGTCACGAAAGCTTTAAATCGAAATCTTCTTGGTTCTTTCGGTAAAGTCACGTAGAAGGGAAGTAATAAAATAATAAAAAATAAACAGAATAATTGTATTTTATGTTTTATTTTTATATTTTTATTATTGAATAAAACATAATAATTGTATTTTTTGTTTTATTTTGATTATTTCCCTTCTACATGACTAATAAAAATAAAACATAATAAAATAATTATCACGACGTTTCGGCTACAACACAAGCAGCCGTCCTCAGGTGAAGAAACAGAGCTGTCGGAAAGACAGCGTCCCAATGAACACCGCCAAGCTTGGCAGCGTATATTTAAGCTGGGTTAGAGGAGGAGGGCGCCTTGACAAAGGCATTTACATATCAAGAGGAATTTAGCAGTGTTATCAATATAACACTGGTCAACACACTTTTTCTGGCATAAGGTATTCCAAGGGGTTTAAGGTAATTTTGGGGTTCTGACTCCAAATCTGGCATCAGTTTTTGTCTATCACATCAGGTTTTTGAGATATGAAATATTGCATTTTCAATGAAAACTGCAGAAGAAAAATATTAAATAAATGTGGATATCTACATAAAATGATATCATAAACACACTATCCTAAAAATACAGCACCATATTTTAACACTAAAGCAGTCACTGACTCGCAACAACTTGCAATCATAAGTGACAGAGTAAATTTCGGGTAAAATCAATGAAAATGGAGTATGCCGATAGCATATAAGTATAACCCGTAAAAACAAAGTTTTTCACTATAAATCCTTTATATGCGTGGCAGCTAACTTAATATAAAGGATTTAAAAATATATTCGCCTGTGGAGGACGCGGGGATCGATCCCGCGACCTTTGGCATGGGAAGCGAGGGCGCTACCAACTGCGCTACTCCGCCACGGCCTGTGGAGGGGTTACGCTCTTGGCTCTTACACTCTGACGTTCAGCCAAAGCCATGAATTAGTTCTATCTGAATATATGTAAAATATTTTTTTTTTGCCTAAAAAGTGTAACATTTTGGGAATTTTTTTTCACGAACAATAATTGTCTGGCACAACGAGTCTGTGTGGAAAATGTCAGCTCGATTGGATCACGGGAAGTGGGTTAAAAAACGACCGAAAGATTTGCACGGTCCTAAGCAAGCAAGCACGCAAGCACGCGAACTTAATATAAAGGATTTAAAAATGATGTGATAGAGCAAATCTGAGATCAGATTTGGAATCGGCACCCTGAAACTAGTCTAAAACAGCTGCAAAAGTCCAGGCCAGAAATCTTTTTTTTTTGTTGACCAGTGTAATCAATGTGCTCAATATACTCTCCAATAAGCTGAGCTATTAACATTAAGTAACTGGGTATACGCTACACTATATAATGACTATCATATAGTGAACCGATAAAAAACTAAAATATAAAATACATCAATGTAATCAATATACTCAATATACTCTCCAATAAGCTGAGGTACTAACAGTAAGTTATACATTACACTTCTATGTCGCAAAAAAAAATAATATGCCTCCAGCTAAACTTTTTTCTTACATCACACGCATATACCCCGTACTATACACTGCCATAGACCAACCCAACATTGAATTATACACTGCGTTACTATACACTACCTTAGACTATGCATTGTAATATTAGACTATGTATTATTCTACACACCCTACTGTATACCACACTGCTGTATATTCACTATACAATTACGATACTATATATTACCTTATACATTATATTAGACATTACACTGTTATACTATTTATTATTATACAATCTGCTATACACCATCTCATTGACCGTCGCGTGAAAGGTACGAAGAGGAAGCAACGAAATATATCAATGGGAGAGTGGTAGAAGGAGACTTGCAGCGGAGCAAAGACTCCATTTCGTGAGGAGAAAACGTGAACACAATCAGTTAAGATCCGAAATGGTTTATTACGTCCTTCCAATGATTGCTGAGCCAGAGTCCATCTTCTCAGTTGAAATTGTCTCTGTGTTTGTATATGTGGATGGCCTCATGAACGAATCTCTCATAGTAGCCGGATGGCTTGCAGAGAACCTCTGTCTTGGAGAAGTCAATGTCATGTGAGCCCACTGAATTATAACAATGGTCTGCCACGGCTGAGGTGTTCGTTCTACCGTGTTAGTAATTATAATGATGAGACCAAAACGTCGTAGCAGCGTGGCATGCATGGACCGCCATGGTGGCGAGATGTTAACTCCCTCTCATGGTCTACAGGAGGTCGTGGGTTCGATGGAGACCCTGACGATGCCTGTCATATATCTGGAGTCTGCGTGTGTCTCTCCCGGGTGAGATGTTAACTACCTCGCCTAGTCTACAGGAGGTCGTGGTTTCGATGCCGACGCTGACGAAGCCTGTCATATATCTGGAGTCTGCGTGTGTCTCTCCCCGGTGAGATGTGAATTCCCTTTCCTGGTCTACAGGAGGTCGTGTGTTCGATCCTGACCCTGACGCCTGCTGTGTATTTGGAGTTTGCATGTTCACTCTCCCCGTGGTCGCGATGGTTTTTCTCCTGGTCCTCCGGGTTTTCGCTCCACATGTAGAATCAACATCACGCGTTTAACGTATTTGATAATATTTAATCATTGTCTTTGAAACTGATTGGTCTACCCCAGAGACAGCCTTCTTCATGGCCTAGTCTCACCAGTGTCAGACCAGAGAACAACACCAAAAGGCGACCGGTACAAAGACAATGCAGTGTCAAGAGCATCTATAGCTCGGGGTGAGCAGCTATATCATGGGACCTTTTTGCCAGAATCAAAGTATGAAAAATAAGAATCGGTTTTACCCTTTCTGGCAATAAAACAGGAGGCGATAATATGTTCAAACACCAGATAGATTATTCCTTTTGCAAGGAATCAAGTTACTGCATTAACCACGCGTACTTGTGGTGATCACGCAAACAAACACGCTCTGATAATAATCACATCGTCAGGACTGTGTTACGAGGACCCGGTGTGTTGCTATGCTGCACCGGTGTACCGCCAATACGTACAAATAACAATGACCGACTGCCTTCTTGCGCAGGGATGAACCCGGCCCAGCCCGAGTTCATGCGCGCACGTGGCAAGCGCAGGGTGAGGGGGAATGGAGCGGAGTGCGGGCGGTCGAGCGACTCCGACGAGGAGTGGACGGGGAGGAGGAAGAGGAAGGAGGTGGCGATGCACGGAGGACGAAGAGGTGGAGGCAAACGTAAAAGGGCGCTTGCAGACCGTGCAGAGACCCCCTGTAGACTCACACAGAGACCCCCTGTAGACTCACACAGAGACCCCCTGTAGACTCACGCAGAGACCCCTGTAGACTCACACAGACAACCCCTGGAGACTGACGCAGAGACCCTCTGTAGATTCACGCAGAGACCCTCTGTAGACTCACACAGAGACCCCTGTAGACTCACTCAGAGACACCCTGTAGACTCACGCAGAGACCCCCTGTAGACTCACACAGAAACCCCTGTAGACTCGCACAGAGACCCCCTGTAGACTCACGCAGAGACCCCCTGTAGACTCACGCAGAGACCCCCTGTAGACTCGCACGGAGACCCCCTGTAGATTTCGATTTAAAGCTTTCGTGACTGCAGGGATTCATCTTCTTGGTTCTTTCGGTAAAGTCACGTAGAAGGGAAGTAATAAAATAATAAAAATAAAACATAATAAAATAAAATAATTCTCACGACGTTTCGGCTACAACGCAAGCAGCCGTCTTCAGGTGAAGAATGAGACACTGCCAAGCTAGGAGCTTATATATAATTCGTTTCGCATTAGAAGAAGTTACAGCAGCAGATGTTAGTGTAAATGCGTTTGGTATTACCTTAGAGTCGCGGCATCTCTTCAGAAAGGTGAGAGACTCGATTAGCTGAGCCTTCTTATCACGGAGCTTGTTGAAGGATCTCAAAGTTATGTGGAAACCCTCCCCGTAGAGGCGGTTAAATTTCGATTTAAAGCTTTCGTGACTGCTGGGTTTCATCTTCTTGGTTCTTTCGGTAAAGTCACATAGAAGGGAAGTAATAAAATCATAAAAATAAAACATAATAAAATAAAATAATTCTCACGACGTTTCGGCTGCGTGCGTGCGTGTGTTCACGTGTGTTCACGTGTGATCACGTGTGTGCATGTGTTCACGTGTGTGCGTGTGCTCACGCAGGAGGAGGCAAGGGGGCTGCTTCACGCTGGGCCACCGTGGGAGAGTCGCACGCGAGGGCAGCTCCCAGCAAGCGCAAGGTCTCTGTGCACAGCGCACGGCACTCCTCTCGTTACAGCTGCTGCTGCTGCTGTTGTCTTTAGTTTGTTGTCCTTCCGCCGCACCTCCCATTAGCGAGGTTGGCTACGTACGGTTACAAAGAAATTCAACATACATACAGTGAGGGAAAAAAGTATTTGATCTCCTGCTGATTTTGTACGTTTGCCCACTGACAAATAAATGATCAGTGTATAATTTTAATGGTAGGTTTATTTGAACAGTGAGAGACAGAATAACAACAACAAAATCCAGAAAAACGCATGTAAATTTTTTTATAAATTGATTTGCATTTTAATGAGGGAAATAAGTATTTGACCCCTCTGCAAAACATGACAGTACTTGGTGGCAAAACCCTTGTTGGCAATCACAGAGGTCAGACGTTTCTTGTAGTTGGCCACCAGGTTTGCACACATCTCAGGAGGGATTTTGTCCCACTCCTCTTTGCAGATCTTCTCCAAGTCATTAAGGTTTCGAGGCTGACGTTTGGCAACTCGAACCTTCAGCTCCCTCCATAGATTTTCTATGGGATTAAGGTCTGGAGACTGGCTAGGCCACTCCAGGACCTTAATGTGCTTCTTCTTGAGCCACTCCTTTGTTGCCTTGGCTGTGTGTTTTGGGTCATTGTCATGCTAGAATACCCATCCACGACCCATTTTCAATGCGCTGGCTGAGGGAAGGAGGTTCTCACCCAAGATTTGACGGTACATGGCCCCGTCCATCGTCCCTTTGATGCGGTGAAGTTGTCCTGTCCCCTTATCAGAAAAACAACCCCAAAGCATAATGTTTCCACCTCCATGTTTGACGGTGGGGATGGTGTTCTTGGGGTCATAGGCAGCATTCCTCCTCCTCCAAACAGGGCGAGTTGAGTTGATGCCAAAGAGCTCCATTTTGGTCTCATCTGACCACAACACTTTCACCCAGTTGTCCTCTGAATCATTCAGATGTTCATTGGCAAACTTCAGACGGGCATGTATATGTGCTTTCTTGAGCAGGGGGACCTTGCGGGCGCTACAGGATTTCAGTCCTTCACAGCGTAGTGTGTTACCAACTGTTTTCTTGGTGACTATGGTCCCAGCTGCCTTGAGATCATTGACAAGATCCTCCCGTGTAGTTCTGGGCTGATTCCTCACCGTTCTCATGATCATTGCAACTCCACGAGGTGACATCTTGCATGGAGCCCCAGGCCGAGGGAGTATGACAGTTCTTTTGTGTTTCTTCCATTTGCGAATAATCACACCAATTGTTGTCACGTTCTCACCAAGCTGCTTGGCAATGGCCTTGTAGCCCATTCCAGTCTTGTGTAGGTCTACAATCTTGTCCCTGACATCCTTGGAGAGCTCTTTGGTCTTGGCCATGGTGGAGAGTTTGGAATCTAATTGATTGTTTCTGTGAACAGGTGTCTTTTATACAGGTAACAAGCTGAGATTAGGAGCACTCCCTTTAAGAGTGTGCTCCTAATCTCAGCTCGTTACCTGTATAAAAGACACCTGGGAGCCAGAAATCTTTATGATTGAGAGGGGGTCAAATACGTATTTCCCTCATTAAAATGCAATTCACTTGATAACATTTTTGACATGCGTTTTTTTGGATTTTGTTGTTGTTATTCTGTCTCTCACTGTTCAAATAAACCTACCGTTCAAATTATAGACTGATCACTTCTTTGTCAGTGGGCAAACGTACAAAATCAGCAGGGGATCAAATACTTTTTTCCCTTACTGTATACTGTACTAGAGGAATCCGATGAGGTGTCAGGGTCGAGATCGAACCCGCGACTTCCTACGTACCAGGCGAGGGAGTTAACATCTCCTAGCCACCGCTGGTCACCGCACAAACTTTGCCCCCCTCACCCCACCACCCCCTCCGCTCAGACTAAAGCCGAAGCCCTGGAGTACGTGTGGAGCATCTTGCAGGGCGTGGAGGAGGAGCAGCAGCAGCAGGAGGAGGAGTCCAGGGGATTTGAGCTGAGGGAGGTGCACAAGGCCAGGATGGCGATGTTCAGGCTGGAGCGCAGAGCTACCGCCTGCAAAGAGGCCCTGAGGGTGGCGCTCCAGAGGATACATGGAGGTGCGTAGCCTGCAGCGGTGATTTATATTCACATCGCAACTCCACGCTCCCCTCTATTCTCACTGGAACTCCACGCTCCCCTCTATTCTCACCGGAACTCCACACTCCCCTCTATTCTCACCAGAACTCCACACTCCCCTCTATTCCCACCAGAACTCCACACTCCCCTCTATTCTCACCAGAACTCCACACTCCCCTCTATTCCCACCAGAACTCCACCCTCCCCTCTATTCTCACCGGAACTCCACACTCTCCTCTATTCCCACCAGAACTCCACGCTCCCCTCTATTCTCACCGGAACTCCACACTCCCCTCTATTCCCACTGGAACTCCACGCTCCCCTCTATTCTCACCGGAACTCCACACTCCCCTCTATTCCCACCAGAACTCCACACTCCCCTCTATTCTCACCAGAACTCCACACTCCCCTCTATTCCCACCGGAACTCCACACTCCCCTCTATTCCCACCGGAACTCCACACTCCCCTCTCTTCCCACCAGAACTCCACACTCCCCTCTATTCTCACCGGAACTCCACACTCCCCTCTATTCCCACCGGAACTCCACACTCCCCTCTATTCTCACCGGAACTCCACACTCCCCTCTATTCCCACCGGAACTCCACACTCCCCTCTATTCCCACCAGAACTCCACACTCCCCTCTATTCTCACCGGAACTCCACACTCCCCTCTATTCCCACCGGAACTCCACACTCCCCTCTATTCTCACCGGAACTCCACACTCCCCTCTATTCCCACCGGAACTCCACACTCCCCTCTATTCTCACCGGAACTCCACACTCCCCTCTATTCCCACCGGAACTCCACACTCCCCTCTATTCCCACCGGAACTCCACACTCCCCTCTATTCTCACCAGAACTCCACGCTCCCTTCTATTCCCACCGGAACTCCGCACTCCCCTCTATTCTCATCGGAACTCCACACTCCCCTCTATTCTCACCAGAACTCCACACTCCCCTCTATTCTCACCGGAACTCCACACTCCCCTCTATTCTCATCTGAACTCCACACGCCCCTCTATTCTCACCAGAACTCCACACTCCCCTCTATTCCAACCGGAACTCCACACTTCCCTCTATTCTCACCGAAACTCCACACTCCCCTCTATTCCCACCAGAACTCCACACTCCCCTCTATTCCCACCGGAATTCTACACTCCCCTCTATTCCCACCAGAACTCCACACTCCCCTCTATTCTCACCAGAACTCCACACTCCCCTCTATTCCAACCGGAACTCCACACTTCCCTCTATTCTCACCGAAACTCCACACTCCCCTCTATTCCCACCAGAACTCCACGCTCCCTTCTATTCTCACCGGAATTCTACACTCCCCTCTATTCCCACCAGAACTCCACACTCCCCTCTATTCTCACCAGAACTCCACACTCCCCTCTATTCTCACCGGAACTCCACACTCCCCTCTATTCTCACCAGAACTCCACGCTCCCCTCTATTCTCACCGGAATTCTACACTCCCCTCTATTCTCACCAGAACTCCACACTCCCCTCTATTCTCACCGGAACTCCACACTCCCCTCTATTCCCACCGGAACTCCACACTCCTCTCTATTCCCACCGGAACTCCACACTCCCCTCTATTCTCACCAGAACTCCACACTCCCCTCTATTCTCACCAGAACTCCACACTCCCCTCTATTCTCACCGGAACTCCACACTCCCCTCTATTCCCACCGGAATTCCACACTCCCCTCTATTCTCACCGGAACTCCAAACTCCCCTCTATTCCCACCGGAACTCCACGCTCCCCTCTATTCCCACCGGAACTCCGCACTCCCCTCTATTCTCATCGGAACTCCACACTCCCCTCTATTCTCACCAGAACTCCACACTCCCCTCTATTCCAACCGGAACTCCACACTCCCCTCTATTCTCACCGAAACTCCACACTCCCCTCTATTCCCACCAGAACTCCACACTCCCCTCTATTCCCACCGGAACTCCACACTCCCCTCTATTTCCACCAGAACTCCACACTCCCCTCTATTTCCACCAGAACTCCACACTTCCCTCTAATCCCACCGGAACTCCACACTCCCCTCTATACTCACCGGAACTCCACACTCCCCTCTATACTCACCGGAACTCCACACTCCCCTCTATTTCCACCAGAACTCCACACTTCCCTCTAATCCCACCGGAACTCCACACTCCCCTCTATTCTCACCGGAATTCCACACTCCCCTCTATTCTCACCAGAACTCCACACTCCCCTCTATTCTCACCAGAACTCCACGCTCCCCTCTATTCTCACCGGAACTCCACACTCCCCTCTATTCTCACCAGAACTCCACACTCCCCTCTATTCTCACCAGAACTCCACGCTCCCCTCTATTCTCACCGGAATTCTACACTCCCCTCTATTCCCACCAGAACTCCACACTCCCCTCTATTCTCACCAGAACTCCACACTCCCCTCTATTCTCACCGGAACTCCACACTCCCCTCTATTCTCACCAGAACTCCACACTGCCCTCTATTCTCACCAGAACTCCACGCTCCCCTCTATTCTCACCGGAATTCTACACTCCCCTCTATTCCCACCAGAACTCCACACTCCCCTCTATTCTCACCAGAACTCCACACTCCCCTCTATTCTCACCGGAACTCCACACTCCCCTCTATTCTCACCGGAACTCCACACTCCTCTCTATTCCCATCGGAACTCCACACTCCCCTCTATTCTCACCAGAACTCCACACTCCCCTCTATTCTCACCAGAACTCCACACTCCCCTCTATTCTCACCGGAACTCCACACTCCCCTCTATTCCCACCAAAACTCCACACTCCCCTCTATTCTCACCGGAACTCCACACTCCCCTCTATTCCCACCGGAACTCCACACTCCCCTCTATTCTCACCGGAACTCCACACTCCCCTCTATTCCCACCGGAACTCCACACTCCCCTCTATTCCCACCGGAACTCCACACTCCCCTCTATTCCCACCGGAACTCCACACTCCCCTCTATTCTCACCAGAACTCCACGCTCCCCTCTATTCCCACCGGAACTCCGCACTCCCCTCTATTCTCATCGGAACTCCACACTCCCCTCTATTCTCACCAGAACTCCACACTCCCCTCTATTCTCACCGGAACTCCACACTCCCCTCTATTCTCATCGGAACTCCACACTCCCCTCTATTCTCACCAGAACTCCACACTCCCCTCTATTCTCACCGGAACTCCACACTCCCCTCTATTCTCACCAGAACTCCACACTCCCCTCTATTCTCACCAGAACTCCACACTCCCCTCTATTCTCATCGGAACTCCACACTCCCCTCTATTCTCACCAGAACTCCACACTCCCCTCTATTCTCACCGGAACTCCACACTCCCCTCTATTCCCACCGGAACTCCACACTCCCCTCTATTCCCACCGGAACTCCACACTCCCCTCTATTCTCACCGGAACTCCACACTCCCCTCTATTCCCACCGGAACTCCACACTCCCCTCTATTCTCACCAGAACTCCACGCTCCCCTCTATTCCCACCGGAACTCCGCACTCCCCTCTATTCTCATCGGAACTCCACACTCCCCTCTATTCTCACTAGAACTCCACACTCCCCTCTATTCTCATCGGAACTCCACACTCCCCTCTATTCTCACCAGAACTCCACACTCCCCTCTATTCTCACCGGAACTCCACACTCCCCTCTATTCCCACCGGAACTCCACACTCCCCTCTATTCCCACCGGAACTCCACACTCCCCTCTATTCTCACCAGAACTCCACACTCCCCTCTATTCTCACCAGAACTCCACACTCCCCTCTATTCTCACCAGAACTCCACACTCCCCTCTATTCTCATTGGAACTCCACACTCCCCTCTATTCTCACCAGAACTCCACACTCCCCTCTATTCTCACCAGAACTCCACACTCCCCTCTATTCTCACCGGAACTCCACACTCCCCTCTATTCTCACCGGAACTCCACTCTCCCCTCTATTCTCACCGGAACTCCACACTCCCCTCTATTCTCACCAGAACTCCACACTCCCCTCTATTCTCACCGGAACTCCACTCTCCCCTCTATTCTCACCGGAACTCCATGCTCCCCTCTATTCTCACCGGAACTCCGCAATCTTTTGTTGCTGCTGATGGAAGTCGCCACTGCTGTTGATGCTACTGCTACATGTGCTCCTGTCAGTGCTGCTGCTGGTACTGATGCAGCCTATTAACTAAACGATGTTTATTTTACCAGGGTAAGCCGCACTGAGCTGTGTAGCTGTTTTTCACAAGCGACCTGGCTATCACAAATGAGAGCTCAACGAAGTGACTTATCATCATCATTATCATTACGTGGACATTTATAGCAGCCAAATACTCTCAACGCGTGACGTTTATTCTAAACGTCGAGGGGAAAAACCGGAGGACCCGGAGAAAAATCCACGCAACCACGGGGAGGTATTCGCCATGAAAGTTTGCACACACAAGGAATTTACTATGGCCGGAAGGTGCATACATTCAACACGTAGGAATAAGTGGTATACAGTCTAACTATACTAAAATTACAAAGTCTAACTAATACTAAGGGGCTAAAGTATGTAAAATTGTGAATAAGCGTACAATATAAAATGTAAACTAGCCATAATATACAATCTAAAAATACAAAAAGGGTAATATGTTGTAAACTATACAGTCGGGATGGAACCCACGACCTCCTGTAGACCACGAGAGGTAGTCAACATCTCGCCGTGTTTGCCTGCAGGCTCCTCCGTGCCGCCGGCCTCCGCCCAGGCTGTGGCGGTGTCGCGCAGCGCTCGCTCTCGCTACGGCCTGCGCCCGCGCGAGAGGCAAGTCTACACAGAGGTGGAGGAGCCCCAGGACGACGACTTCTTCTGTGAGACCCCCTGCTCCCTCTCACTCTCTCTCACTTTCTCACTCTCTCTCTCACACTGTCACTTTCTCACACTCTCTCTCACACTGTCACTTTCTCACTCTCTCTCTCACCTGTCACTTTCACACTCTCACTCTCTCTCTCACTTTCTCACACTCTCACTCACACTGTCACTTTCTCACTCTCTCTCACACACTGTCACTTTCTCAAACTCTCTCTCACACCGTCACTTTCTCACTCTCTCTCACACACTGTCACTTTCTCACACTCTCTCTCACACTGTCACTATCTCACTCTCTCTCTCACACTGTCACTTTCTCACACTCTCTCTCACACTGTCACTTTCTCACAATGTCAGTTTATCACACTCTCACCTATCTATCTCTATTGCTCCCGCGCTCTCACTCGATACGTTCCACCTGCTCCCTCTCACACTCTCCCCCTTTCCTTCCCTCTCACACGCTCCCTTTCTCGTACTCTCACTTACCTCTCTCTCTTTTGCTCCCTCACTCAGGGATGCAGGGAGGGAGCAGGGAGGGTGACAGGGTTTACATCTCCGATGAGCGAGCTAAATAATCTTCTTGGTTCTTTCGGTAAAGTCACGTAGAAAACGTGACTTTACCAAAAGAACCAAGAAGATGAATCCCTGCAGTCACGAAAGCTTTAAATCGAAATTTGACCTAAAGAAGTTCACAATGCAGAGAGGGAGGGAGGGAGGCATCTGTCTGGAGCGCTCCTCACCCTCTCACTCTCTCACAGTGCCACTGCTGCTGCTGCTGTTGCTACTGCGGTTCGCCCTCCTCCCACTGCTGCTGCTGTGGCTCTCAGTCTGCGAGCTGTGCAGGGATTTCTACCTGGCGGAGTGCTCCGTGCACGGCCCGCCAGAGTTCATCGCGGACGCGGCCGTGGCCCCGGGAGTGGCCAACAGGGCCCGGCTCAGCCTGCCCCAGGGCCTCACCGTCGGCGCCTCCTCCATCGCCGGCGCCGGCCTCGGGGTGTGGAGCAACAGGAAGAAGCTGCCCAAGGGGGTGATGTTTGGGCCCTACCAGGGAGAGGTGTCTGAGGAGAACCCCGTGAGCGAGTACTGCTGGCTGGTGAGCTGCTGCTGCTACTGCTGCAGCCTCCTCCTATTCCTACATCATCATCGTGTGTGTGGAGAGGAGGCTCGTGAAGGAGATGCAGAGAAACCCATAGCCTCACACAGTCACCCACAGACTTACACAGAGATCTAGAGACTGGCACAGAGAGACCCAGAGACTCACAGAGACCCATAGACTCACACAGAGACCCATAGACTCGCACAGAAACCCATAGACTCACACAGAGACCCATAGACTCGCACAGAGACCCATAGACTCGCACAGAGACCTATAGACTCGCACAGAGACCCATAGATTCACACAGAGACCCATAGACTCGCACAGAGACCCATAGCCTCACACAGTCACCCACAGACTCACACAGAGACCCAGAGACTCGCATAGAGAGACCCACAGACTTGCACAGAGACCTAGAGACTTGAACAGAGACCCAGAGACTCACAGTGGGACACACAGACTCACACAGAGACCCAGAGACTCACACAGAGAGACCCAGATACTCACACAGATGCTCAGAGAATCGCACAGAGAGATCCACAGTCTCACACAGAGACCCAGAGACTCGCACAGAGACCCACAGTCTCACACAGAGACCCAGAGTCGCACAGATACCCTAGAGACTCGCACAGAGACACAGAGACTCGTACAGAGACCTAGAGACTCACCCAAAGACCCCCAGAATCACAGAGAGACCCAAAAATTAACGTAATTATTTGAACTTGTAACACACAGCAAAGACGGTGGTCACCGCATGGCGCGGCGCTTACAGATGCACTTCTGCGGCCGTCTGGAAGGTTCTTCCTTCCAATGTTAGGAAGCCACTGGGAGCTTAGCACTTTAAAATCTTGTAGATTGAAAATGCATTTCTTTAGAACTGCTTTTAGTGTTTAGTTTGTTGTCCTTCCCCCGCACCTCCGATCAGCACGGTTGACTACGTGCGGTACGAAAGAAGTTCAACTTACAGTCCAACTGACATTAATTATCCGTGGATCTGCTCGTGTGCGTGTGTGTTTCAGATTTACAAAAACAAAAAGGATTGTGAATATGTTGATGCTCAGGATGAATCTAAATCAAACTGGATGAGGTGATTATTGTCTGAAGGACCACTACACAGAGATCAGAACCACTACACACAGAGACCAGAACCACCACACACAGAGACCAGAACCACTACACACAGAGACCAGAACCACTACACACAGAGACCAGAACCACTACACACAGAGACCAGAACCACTACACACAGAGACCAGAACCACTACACACAGAGACAAGAACCACTTCACACAGAGACCAGAACCACTACACACAGAGACCAGAACCACTACACACAGAAACCAGAATCACTACACACAGAGACCAGAACCACCACACACAGAGACAAGAACCAGCACACACAGACCAGAACCACTACACACAGAGACCAGAAACACCACACACAGAGACCAGAACCACTACACACAGAGACCAGAACCAGCACACACAGAGACCAGAACCACTACACACAGAGACAAGAACCAGCACACACAGAGACCAGAACCACTACACACAGAGACCAGAACCACCACACACAGAGACCAGAACCACCACACACAGAAACCAGAACCACCACACACAGAGACCAGAACCACCACACACAGAGACAAGAACCACTACACACAGAGACCAGACCCACTACACACAGAGACCAACCCTGGGCCTCCCCTTGGTCGACTCGGCATCAAATGAGCACCCGGTACGGAGCGTGGTTCCAGCCACACCACCCCCACGTAGCGCCCAGTGCCGGCCCTTAATAGGCGCTCGCTAACGGCGCCCACCCCGCCCCCGCGTCTGCCCGCGCAGGTTCGTCAACTGCGCGAGGAATGAGCAGGAGCAGAACCTGGTGGCCTTCCAGCACAGGAGGCAGATTTACTACCGCACGTTCCGTGCCGTGGGGCCCGGCTCTGAGCTGCTGGTCTGGTACGGCGAGGAGTTCGCCCAGGAGCTGGGCATCGCCTGCGAGGCCGGGCCCTCGCGACGCCGCAGCAGCAGCAGCAGCGAGATGGCTCCTAGGGCCACCGCCAGAGACCTGCAGCCCGTGCAGCCTCCACCAAGCGAGGAACACCGTGAGCACCGCTCACCAGAGACTCACCACTGCTCACCAGACTATAGCCACCACTCACCAGAGATGATAGCCACCACTCACGAGAGACGATAGCCACCACTCACCAGAGATGATAGCCACCACTCACCAGAGATGATAGCCACCACGCACCAGAAATGATAGCCACCACTCACCAGAGATGGCAGCCACCACTTACGAGAGACGATAGCCACTACTCACCAGAGACGATAGCCACCACTCAGTAGAGATGATAGCTACCACTCACCAGAGATGATAGCCACATCTCACCAGAGATGTGGATGTAGCTACCACTCACCAGAGATGATAGCCACCACTCACTAGAGATGATAGCCACCACTCACCAGAGATGACAGCCACCACTCACCAGAGATGATAGGCACCAGCCACACTGATAAGGTGGAAGTGAGTAACTGGTGTGGTGTGTAGTAGTAAACATCGCCACTGGGGAGACAAAGGCGGCTATGTGTGGTGCTGGCCACCCTCCCACTCGTGTGCCGTGTTGGCTTTCATTGATGCCCATAACAGCACTTGTCCCAAAAGTATATACAGGCTATATGGGGGTTCTTTGTCTTTGTGTGTATATATAATGGAGCCCACTGCACTACGAACCTGGCCACCTGAGTTTGATTCCCACTCACGGCCAACGTCAGTGGTGAATATTTAGGCCTCCCCTAGGTTGACTCAGCCTCAAATGAGTACCTAGCTTAAACGTGGAAACATCGCCACTGGAGAGACAAAGGCGGTCGGGCCTAGTGTTGGCCACCTACTCCCTCGTGTGCCATGCCGGCCTTCATAGGTACTCGCAAACAGCACTTGCCCAACAGTCTGATATGGCTGTGAGAAACCTTTACCTTTGTGTATACACACACGTGTGCAAGAGTGTTCATGTCTAGATGTTGGTGTGTGCGCGTGTGTCTTGTTCCTCTGGGATGACGCAGGTGGAGTGGGTGTGGAGGTCACAAGGCTGCCGTGTCCTGCCTGCAACCGTCAGTTCATCTGCCGCTCTAGTCTACAACATCACGTGCAGAGGAGACACCCCACTAAGCCCAGTAACAAAAGTCATCAGTGTGACCAATGTCCATACAGCACAGACTACAAGAGTACCTTGAAGAAGCACCAGAGAACACACACGGGAGAGAAGCCGTTCAAGTGCACCGTGTGTAAGAAGGCATTTGCAGACACATCAACTCTTCACAGGCACCAGAGAACACACACGGGAGAGAAGCCGTTCAAGTGCACGGTGTGTGAGAAGGCGTTTGCACGGCTATCAACTCTTCACAGCCACCAGAGAACACACACGGGAGAGAAGCCGTTCAAGTGCACCGTGTGTGAGACGGCGTTTGCAGACACAGCAACTCTTCACAGGCACCAGAGAACACACACGGGAGAGAAGCCATTCAAGTGCACCGTGTGTGAGAAGGCGTTTTCACAGCTATCACATCTTCACAGGCACCAGAGAACACACACGGGAGATAAGCCGTTCAAGTGCACCATGTGTGAGAAGGCGTTTGCACATCTATCAACTCTTCACAGCCACCAGAGAACATACACGGGAGAGAAGCCGTTCAAGTGCACCGTGTGTGAGAAGGCGTTTGCAGACCCATCCAGTCTTCGCCGGCACCAGAGAACACACACCGGCCAGAATGCATTTTCTCATTCCCGTGGAAACAGAAAAGTCATCCATCCTGAGCAAAACGCGCACAGCGCCGAGCTGTGAATTAGTTTTAAACAACAGGCCACGTGATTAGCCGAGGCTGTGCCACCCTTGAAACTGATTTTGAATGTGAACACGGAAACCTACGGATCCTCCTACACCTGCCTCACACTCTGTGGGGGGTGGGAGATTAAACCGACCCGGCCACCCCTCGATTGCAAGTGCGGAGTTCTAGGTCCCAACCACTGCACGTCCCCCCCCCACCCCCATCACCTGGGGGTCCCTGTGTGTGTGAGTGTGCAGAGTCCCCCGTGCAGAGCTGCACTGTTGTTACCCTAGAGAGGGGCACCGCAGGGCGATCCACCTACAGACACCCCAGTCTGCACGTCTCCCGCCGGTCTCCATGCGCACCGCGTGCCGTCTCGTAGCCCTGCCCCGTGCGACGTACGTAGAGTACGTACAGTACGCACCCATCCAGCGGTAGACTGAACCGCGGCTGTTGACGAAGGTGGCATCCACTCACAAATCTCCGAACACTCAGTCCAGAGGTCGCAACCGGGTACCCGATACCCGTACCCTACCCGATACCCGGCCGGGTACGGGTAGCTGTTTGCGACCTTGGTGCAGCCGGGTACAGGTAGACCGTGAGTCACTGGTGAGTAACTGTCACTCATTTCCCAACGTCTTGTCTCTTCTCACAATTCAAGTTCCTAGAATCAACCCACCCGCGCCTGCAACATGGCTTCACCCCAGAGGTCGCAATCAGGTACCCGATACCGGGTACGGGTATCTGTTTACGACGCTGGTGCGGCCGGGTACGGGTAAGGAATCAAAACCCGTTTGCGACCTCTGGCTCAGTACCGTAGCCCCGAGCCATCGCTTGCACGATATTCACTTTGCTGCTGAGAGGAAAGCTACGGGGAGGAGGTGGGGGGGTTGCTAGGATAGGACATCTGTGGAACGGCTGGAGATCTGCGAAGAAGAGCTTCATAGCTCATCGGATTCCTGCGGTCTGAAAAAATATTGTGGGATGGCGTTGGGAGGGGGGGGTGTAGGTATGAGTGGGGCATCTGCACTTGGATCACCCTGCGTGTTGTTATTGCCTCCCCCGTTGCAAATGTTCCCAGCGTGAACTTCACCCTTTGCCGTCGCGACGACGCCGCGCGCCGTGCGTGAACGTCGTCGTCGAAACAACAAAACGCAGTAAAAACTAAAGTAACTTTATCGGTACCGAGGCTCCCACAGGGCCACGCGGGGCAGGGAGTGTGGCACAGTTTTGGCGCCGGCTAGCGCAGAGTGGCGGCGGTCGTGTCACTACGCTTCTCTGCGGTGAGCAACGACGTCTTTATAACAACAACAACAACAGTGCTGCTGCTGCTGCCACTGCTGATGCCTCTCTGACACTCACCCCGTGAACGGTGACACCCACCGACCCTGCAACTCTGCAGACGTCTCGGACGCGGTAAAGGGTTGAGAGATTCTCTGCGTCGTCCCGGTTGCTCGCGTGATGTCGCACGGTGGTGGCGCGCGTTGACTCTTACACGGTTAAGAAAGTTGAGCGTTAGTTTGTGATTCTGTTTAAAAGTATATATGTACAAACTTAAACTAACAAACATTATCTTGGGATTTTACCAGTTAAGGTGCAACTGGATACGTAGAAGCTCTTTTATAAGACGCGACCACCTGGCCATCACAAATGAAAGCTCAACGAAGTGGCTTCTCATTGTGTGGACATTTATAGCGGCCAAATACTCTGATTGCGTGATCTCGATTCTAAATGTCGAGGGAAAAACCGGAGGACCTGGAGAAAAATCCACACGACCACGGGGAGAGAGAAAGAGACGCGTAAACTCAAAATATACAGCAGGCGTCAGGGTCGGAATCAAACACAAGATTTCCTGTACACCAGGAGAGGTAGTTAACATCTCAACATGCGTTCAGAGTATTTGGCTGATGTAAATGTCACGTGATGAGCCACTTCGGTGCGCTGCTGTCATTTGTGATAGCCACACAGCTCAGTGGGGGCCTTACCTGGAAAAGTAAAGTGAAGTGAAAAACTAAAATCTACTATATTCTTGGTTCTTTCGGTAAAGTGACGTAGAAGGGAAATAATAAAATAATAAAAATTTAAGAATCAAATTAACACGACGTTTCGATTGCAACGCAAGCAATCATCATCAGGTTATGTAAACCACAGCAAAAAAAATATTGCTGTGGTTTTCACACCTGATGATGATTGCTTGTGTTGCAATCGAAACGTCGTGAGAATTTTATTGTTTTATTTTTATTATTTTATTATTTCCCTTCTACGTGACTTTACCGAAAGAACCAAGAATATGAATCCCTGTAGTCACGAAATCTTCAAATCGAAAAAAAATCTCCTCTTGGTTCTTTCGGTAAAGTCACCTAGAAGAGAAGTAATAAAATAATAAAAATAAAACATAATAAGTTATATTATTATAGTATATTATTTTATTATATTATTTTATTATATTGTTATTTTATTATAGTATATTATTTTATTATATTATGTTAATATATTATAATATAATATTATTTAAATATACAATATTAATTTATTATTTTATTTTAATATTTTATTATTTAATTTTTATTATTTCCCTTCTACGTGACTTTACCGAAAGAACCAAGAAGATGAATCCCTGCAGTCACGAAAGCTTTAAATCGAAATTTTACATAGACTTTGATTGCTTCAACCAGAAAAACTTTAATAATAACCCTAACCCTAAAAAATAACCCGTAAAAACAAAGTTTTTCACTATAAATCCTTTATATGCGTGGCGGCTAGAGTCCTCTCGTCCTCTGGCTTGAGATGGCTGCCACCTATGGGTCAGATGATTGTCTGCCACCATTAAGCAATTGGTAATTAAATATTTAAAAAAATTCCCCTAAACAATGTAAATTTTTGAAAAAATTTTTTTATGAAAATTAATTGTCACGCACAACGAGTCTGTGTGCAAAATGTCAGCTCGATTGGATCACGGGAAGTGGGTTAAAACACGACCAAAAGATTTGCACGGTCGTAAGCAAGCAAGCAAGCACGCAAGCACGCAAGCAAGCAAGTGAACTTAATATAAAGGATTTAAAAATGCTTCAATTGATCAAATTGAGATTCTTACTTCCATTTACACGCTTTTTAGATATCGATTGAAGTTCGTTGTCGGCTGTTCTCTGTGTGGATAATTGCCTTTGAACTTTCACATGGGGCATGTTCTGCCCTGGAGGGGGGTATGGTCTGGACCAGTCTAGTTTAAACCCCCGGGTCTAGTTTAGCCTAGGACACTTTATCCCCCCGGGTATACTCTGGCCTGGGCCAAACTATACCCGGGTTTAATCGGGGCAGGGGTTGTTTTTAAATCCTTTATATTAAGTTCACTTGCTTGCGCGCTTACGACCGTGCAAATCTTTCGGTTGTTTTTAACCCACTTCCCGTGATCCAATCGAGCTGACATTTTGCACACAGACTCGTTGTGCGTGACAATGTATTTTCGTGAAATATTTTTCCAAAATTTTACACTGTTTAGGAAAATAAAAATTTCACTAACACAATCATATGTTTAACCTAAACACAGAAAATTATTCAAGAAAACAACAAAAATGTACAATATAAACAATCATACAAAAACTGAAAACCTTATAATCCTTATATACGACCTTACTTATATTTAATTTAAAATACCAATGTGATAAAAATGAAACTCTTACTCAAGAAAAACAGAAATGAATAATAACATCAAACCGATGCCACGCATATAAAGGATTTATAGTAAAAAACTTTGTTTTTACGGGTTAATTTTTTTTTGCCTGTTACACCGGTATCTCCAGGAGGTCGGAGCGACTTGCTCTGTGGTGACACTTTTCCGTGACAGAGGTTTGGTTTTTGCTGTTGTTGTTGGGTTAGAGATCTCGTAAACATCAACATTGTGTCGTTAACCCACCACCACCCACCACCATCGCCTGACACGGCCAATCAGTCAGGGTTTGTCACGTAAACGAAACGTGCCAATTGGTTACCAACTTCAGCACACACAGCGCTTGTGTGTCGGGGAGAGTGAACCCACAACAGCATTTACAATTCGAGTGCCGGTGACGTTTCGCCGGTTATTACAAACAACGGCCACCGGTTTCATCGGGCGATGTGCCAGGATTGTGATCCAACGCCATCTAACCCAGCAGCAGCAACAGCAACGACGACAACAAAAACCTTCATCACAGACACCGCTGGTCGCAAGAGACTGCGCGTGGCGCTTTGTGTTGCCGTTGCCATGAATCGTCGAAGCGCGTTCACGATCTGTTGTTCTCCTGTAACGCGGTGGTCATTTTGATTTAAAGCTTCTTTCGTGACTGCAGGGATCCATCTTCTTGGTTCTTTCGGTAAAGTCACGTAGAATGGAAATAATAAAATAATAAAAATAAAGCAATAAAGTAAGTTTTATTTTTATTATTGTATTAGTTAATAAAAGAAAAAATATTATTTAATAATAAAATAATGCTAATAAAACTATTATTTTATTGGTTTATTTTTATTATTTTATTATTTCCATTCTCCGTGACTTTACCGAAAGAACCAAGAGGAGGTGGTCATTGTTGCGTTCCTGAAGAACACCGCGTTGTGGAGAAATAATATAAACTATAGGGGGTGAAGCGTGGTCCGCAACTGCTCGCTGCTAATCCTAACAACACCAATCCTAGTCGTCATCCCTGCACGGCAATGATGGTAACACTATGACCCAACAAAATTACACATCAAACTGTCCTACAGATTTCAATTCACACGATCCTACAGATTTCAAGTCACACGCCCCTACAGACTTCAATTCACACGACCCTACAAACTTCAATTCACAAAACCCTACAGATTTCAATTCACACGCCCCTACAGACTTCAATTCACAAAACCCTACAAAACTTAAATTCACACGACCCTACAAATTTCAATTCACACTCCCCTACAGATGTGTTTTGGTCATGTGCCTACCTTTCCTATACTCTCCACTGCTACGGTGTTTATTGTGTCGTGTTTGTTGTTGTGGCGTTCTGACCACGTGCCCCGACTGGACACCTGTGGACAATAAAGAGCTTCACAGCTCATCGGATTCCTCCAGAATAAAAATTTAAACTTTAAAAACTCTGATGACGTCACTGCGTGGTGACGTCACGCGTCTAGCCCCCTCCACTCCCCCGTTACCCCCACCCCTCCCACCCTCCATTCCCCCCTCCCGCCACTCACCAACCGCCATTCCGCCCCCTCCTCCCCCCACCCCCCACTCCCCCCCCCCCCCCCACCACCAACCGCCGCCATTGGCCACTGAGTGACGGTGACGTCACCACGGCGCCTGTGCCAGGCTGGGTGCACTTCGAGGCTGCCGCGTGAAGTGTCGACGGCTCGACACTGAGGTGGTGACGTCACGCGAGCGTTGTGTTTAACGATTTAACGATATTAGCGTAAAGATATGAGCATTAGCTCAAGTGATGTGAACACGTTCGGATTACCTCAAGTAATGTTACATTTACCTGAGGTAATTTTACCTCGCATAAGGTAAAGTTACCTCATTTGAGATAATGTTACCTTACCTGACGTAATTTTACCTTTGCCTGAGGTAATGTTACCTCGACCCTAACGTTATATTACATCGCTTGAGGTAAAGTTACCTCACGTGAGGTAAAGTTACCTCGCCTTCCATTGAATTCCGATTATGTAACCCTGAGGTAATAATCGCGCGATAATTGTGTTTAATGATTTAACTACGTGAGAATATTACGATATGGGCATTAGCTGAAGTGATGTGAATACGTTCGGATTACCTCAAGTAATGTTACATTTACCTGAGGTAATGTTACCTCTATGTGAGGTAAAGTTACCTCACTTAAGGTCCAGTTACCTCGCCTGAGGTAAAGTTAACTAACCTGGGGTAATGTTGCCTCTACCTGAGGTGAAGTTTCCTCACCTGAAGTAATTTTACTTCGCCTAAGATAAAGTTACCTCAGCTGAGGTAAAGTTACCTCATTTGAGATAATGTTACCTTACCTGACGTAAAGTTACCTCGGCCTGACGTTATATTACTTCGTCTGAAGTAAGTAACATCACCTGAGGTAATGTTACCTCTACCTGAAGTAATTTTACCTCACCTAAGGTAATGTTACCTCGCATGAGGTAAAGTTACCTCATTTGAGGTAAAGTTACCTCACCTGAGGTATGTTATCTCGACCTGAGGTTACTAAGGGCACCACGGGGTGACCAGCCCCCTCCCCACCCCCCCCCCAGCCCCTCCCCACCCCCCACCCAGCCCCTCCCCACCCCCCACCCAGCCCCTCCCCACCCCCCACCCAGCCCCCCCCCAATCAGCCCCACCCGAGCCCTCCCCCACCCCCCCCCAGCCCCTCCCTCCCCACCCCCCACCCAGCCCCCCCCACTCAGCCCACCCAGCCCCTCCCCACCCCCCACCCAGCCCCTCCCTCCCCACCCCCCACCCAGCCCCTCCCTCCCCACCCTCCCCACCCCCCACCCAGCCCCACCCTCCCTACCCAGCCCCTCCCTCCCCACCCAGCCCCACCCTCCCCACCCAGCCCCTCCCTCCCACCCCTCCCCCCACCCAGCCCCACCCTCCCCACCCAGCCCCTCCCTCCCCACCCAGCCCCACCCCCCCAGCCCCCCTCCCCACCCAGCCCCACCCTCCCCACCCACCTCCCCTCCCCAACCATCCCCACCCTCCCCACCCAGCCCCTCCCTCCCCACCCAGCCCCTCCCTACACGACGGACGGACGGACACATTAATCCCCTGTGGGCTGGTGTAACCAGGAGGTTCCTACCAGTAGTCAAGTGAGGATTCTATCTCACGCGAATTTTAAATCGTAAGATTTACGCTACGAGACGACTTCACGTTACGATTACAGCTACACATCTCGTACAGTGTTGACACGAGCGACTAATTAATTGTACAAGATTTACTTTGCACTGAATGAGAATGTCGCGGTGAAGATTACCTTATAATATAACGTGATTTGATACGGATTGCATCACATTCTGATTACCTTACCCTCAGTGCCGGATAAAGTTAGTTCGGGGCCTGTAGCATGTGCTAGAAAGGGGCCCAATAATTTTTTTTAAAACGTAAACATTAAAACACATTTTTTACTTGCACAGTAAAGTATTTGTATTTTTTCATTTGCTATACAGCCGGATAATACGACTAATCGCTAACCTTAAACACCCAGTCGTTCATAAAAAAAAAAGTTGAAGTCTGTATAGTACTATAGTAATAGAGCAAGTGCAGAATCAATTAACCCGAATTGATATCTTGAAAGCATTTAGCGCGGGGCCCTTGAAAGTGCGGGGCCCGTAGCATTTGTAGCAACTTTGCGACTCCGATAATAAACCCCCCCCCACTCCCCCCCACCCCATCACCCCCCCCCCACTCCCCTCCCACCACCGCCAATCGCCGCCATTGGCCACTCAGTGACGGTGACGTCACCACGGGCGCCTGTGCCAGGCTGGGTGCACTTCGAGGCTGCCGCGTGAAGTGTCGACGGCTCGACACTGAGGTGGTGACGTCACGCGAGCGTTGTGTTTAACGATTAACCACGTGACGATTTTACGATATTAGCGTAAAAATATGAACATTAGCTGAAGTGATGTGAACACGTTCGGATTACCTCAAGTAATGTTACATTTACCTGAGGTGATGTTACCTCATCTGAGGTGATGTTACCTCAGGTGAGGTAATGTTACCTTAGCTGACGTAATTTTACCTCTGCCTGAGGTAATGTTACCTCGACCTAACGTTATATTACATCGCTTGAGGTAAAGTTACCTCGCCTTCCGACAGTCTGTTAAGGCCACACGGGGGATCTTAGTCTCGTATCCCTGTGACTCTGTCTCCGTGTGACTCTGTCTCCCTGTGACTCTGTCTCCCTGTGACTCTGTCTCCGTGTGACTCCATCTCCGTGACTGCGTCTGACCGTCGTCCGCGTCTCGTCCCTCCGTGTCCTCTGCGCCTCAGCAGCAGCAGCAGGAGATGGCGACTTCCGAGACATCAGAGGCTTCTTCACCAAGGCCGAGTGGAGCGATCTGGCCGAGTGCGAGAAGCGGCGCTACAGGAACATCAAGCAGAACCACGCCGTCCTGCTGAACCTCGGTGGGTACGGCAGGCCGAGCCTCTTCGCAAACTCAACTAATTGTCGCAGTGATTATAATGATGAGACCAAGACGTCGTAGCAGAGTGGCATGCATGGGGCGCCATGGTGGCGAGATGTTAACTAACTCGCCTGGTCTACAGGAGGTCGTGGGTTCGATCCCGACCCTGACGATGCCTGTCATATATCTGGAGTCTGCGTGTGTCTCTCCCGGGTGAGATGTTAACTACCTCGCCTGGTCTACAGGAGGTCGTGGGTTCGATGGCGACCCTGACGATGCCTGTCATATATCTGGAGTCTGCGTGTGTCTCTCCCCGGTGAGATGTTAACTACCTCTCATGGTCTACAGGAGGTCGTGGGTTAGATCCCGGTCCTCCGGGTTTTTGCTCCACTTGTAGAATCAACATCACGCGTTTAGAGTATTTGTCTGCTGCTATAAATGTCCACGTGGTAAGCCACTTGGTTGAGCTGTCATTTGTGGCAGCCAGGTCGCTTCTGAAGAAGGAGCCAATAGCTCAGTGGACTTCACCTGTGAAGTAAAATAGATTTAGTTTTAGTTTAATGATTTGTTTACCTTTACTCTACTTTGCACGCCTATCGTGTTTGTGTTTTGTGTTGTTGTAACTTTCTGACCCCGTGCCCCCTATGGGACATCTATGAAAAAGAGCTTCATAGCTCATCGGATTCATAATTCTAGTCACGTAGGTAAAAAATAAAATTAAAATTAATCAAAGTAAAATTAAAATTTATAAAAGTACTTTTATTAATTTAAATTTTATTTTTTACCTACGGATTCATAATGTTGGAGAGTAAACCCACAACATTTACAAAAATAGTTTATTTTGACTTAAAACTTTCGTGACTGCAGGAATTCATATTCTTTGGTTCTTTCGATAAAGTGACGTAGATAGAAAAACTAAAATAAAAATAAAGTGAATAGTAAAAATGATAAAGCACTCATGTATAATCAAAACTTTTGAGTTATAAATTAGTCTTCTTGGTTCTTCGGTAAAGTCACATAGAAGGGAAAAAAAAAAACATAAAATACAATTATTAAAATACAATTTTAATGTTTTCTTTTTAATATTTTATTATTTCCCTTCTACGTGACTTTACCGAAAGAACCAAGAAGATGAATCCCTGCAGTCACGAAAGCTTTAAATTGAAATGTATACATTAGTGTTTTTTTTTTATGGAGCAGTCTAATTAGTGTCTTATTTTTATAATTTTTTATTCACTTAATTTGTATCATTTGAACTGCCTCTATTGGGAGGGTTTCCACATAACCATGAGATCTTTTAACAATCTCCGTGACAAGAAAGTTCATCTGATCGAGTCACTCACATTTCTGAAGAGATGCCGTGACTCTAACGTAATACCGATCTCATTGACACTGATTTCTGCTGCAGTCACATCTTCCAATGCCAGACGAATTTTGTTCAGGGCGAGCTTGGCCCTGATCTCAGAGAGAATTAGACTGCTCCATACTGAACTAGATCATGTAGACAAGACACTCTTGAAATCACACTTAACATTGACGGGAAAAATGTCGACATCTGATTGGGAACATGTAGATAACATGACCGCTTAATCAGCCACTACAATGTCAGCGAAATGTAAAGATCTGATTTTCGAGTTCAACCTCCTTTCTAACAAGAAACCAGATCCACACGTTAAAAGGTTAGACGTTGACAAGGTTGTTATTAATCTGAGTAATAGCCCAATGTGCGATGGTCTAAAGTCGGTTTTGGCTAAAGAGTTGAACTTCTCAGTCACCCCCAAACACATTCCAGTGGATGACGTTATTGCCCAGGTCGATGTCGCTCTTAAGGGTTTGGGGCGCATCGCTGCAGACGTTACAAGATCTGAAATTGCTGCAACCCTCAAAAGCGCTAAGATACCAGTCAGCAACATCAGTGAGGATGAACGTTTTTGTGGTTTTTGATTATTTTTATTCACTTTATTTTTCTATCTACGTGACTTTGCCGAAAGAACCAAAGAATATTTACAAAAAAATGTATTTTGTGTGTGTGTAATTTGTTTACCTTTTCTATACTTTGCACTCCTATCGTGTTTACTGTATTGCTTGGGGTTATTGTAGCAGCCAAATAATATAAATGAACGTAGTAGCGGTACACCGTTGCGCTGTATGAAATAATCATCACATTTTTGGCAAAAGTTATTTATTTCCTCGTGATTCGAGACCCCAGACAAGGATATTTTGGGGTGGTGGTGGTGCGTCAAAATCAGTTGTCGTGATGCCAAAGCGGTGGGAAGACGGAACGTGACATGAGCAGCACTGAACACGAAGCTTCGCAGTCTGTTGCCGTACAGCGGCGCCCAGTCTGATGACAATCGGCTGCTCCGTGCTCCAGTGGCAAGATTGGACTCCTCGTGCCCCTAGAGACTCGGTCGGACGGTGCCTCTATACGACTCGTGGTGTCGCCACCGCACGTTCGGAATGGGGGACGCGGCTGCTGAATCTGAGTGCAACTTCTGATGGAGAGTCCTGCAGCTCACTCAAGGGGCAACGGCGACATCATCGGGACTATGAAAAATAAGAATCGGTTTTACTCTTTATGGGAATGAAACAGGAGGTGTTAAGATGTTCAAACACCAGATAGATTATAGCTTTTGCAAGGAATCAGGTTACTGCATTAACCACGCGTACTGAACATGCAAACAAACACTCTCTGATAACATTTAATCATTGTCTTTGATACTGATTGGTCTACCCCAGAGACAGTCTTCTTCATGGCCTAGTCTCACCAGTGTCAGACCAGAGAACAACACCAAAAGGCGACCAGTACAAAGACAATGCAGTGCCAAGAGCATTTATAGCTCGGGGTGAGTAGCTATATCATTGGACCTTTTTGCCAGAATCAAAGTATAAAAAATAGGAATCGGTTTTACCCTTTCTGGCAATAAAACAGGAGCTGTTAAGATGTTCACACACCAAATAGATGATTCCTTTTTGCAAGGAATCAAGTTACTGCATTAACCACGCGTACTTGTGTTGAACACGCAAACAAATGTTGAGGTCGCTAGCCCCCGAGATCCCTCCCTCGATAATGCTAACCGCCGGGCTAACATCATCAATCGCCCCCCCGCTGCTAAGCGAACCGCTGCTAGGTTCCTCACCCATGGTGTGGGAGCCGTCGCCCGAGGATTCCCCTCCACCGCGGGTCCGCGTAGTAGGCATGGTTGGATACCGCGTAGTTTTATGTCCCCCTTTACGCTACCACGATACCTCCCTTTCCTAATCGCGTACCTGCGACCCACACGGAGCGAACGTACGCACACACACACACACCGCTCCGTGCACTCCAACTCCACACTGACTACTCGCGTTATGATCGTGCACCTGTATCACACGCGGAGTGAACACACGCGACACCCACTCTCGCACCGCTCTGCGCAGCGCTCCCCCGAGGCGAGCCGCAGCACTACAGAATCACCGCGCACACACGCTCACCCGCGCGCTCAGCTCCGCGCAGCGCTCACTCACGTGGCGAACCACCGTGCACACAGCGCACCCACACGCTCACACTGCTCGACCAGATCACGCGAGACCACGCTTCGCTATTAATGATTTATTATCTGATACCTGGCAATTTAATGTTAAATCAGTGAGTCGACGAGGCTGGCCTACGCTGATACCTTTATACCTATTCCCGATTTATCTGCTATGATTCCAATTCACCTTCTTACTCTCTGTTGGATGCCCACGGCGGTTCGTTGATCACGTACTCGCAGCGTGCCTCGATGCGTCTCACGGACGTTCGGGTCGCTGGACTGGAGAGCGTCCTGTCGCCTGGCGCTGGAGAGAGAGAGCGATTTCCCCTTTGCGCCCCCGTATTTATCCTCCCTACCTCACAGGGATGCTGCGCTGAACAATGGGCTCGTGCACCCCAAGCCCGCGCACGGCGGTTCCGGGCGCTTTTGATCTGCTAATCAGTGAGCTGCGTTGGCGGCGTACATCCTAATTACTCCCTTACCCTGCGCGCTCAAGCGTAATTATGCCGTCCCTCCGCTGCCGGTGCGGGGGTGCCTGATTATGCAGTTCAGATGCGCTGCGTGTTTTCTAATGATGCTCCTCCATTACAATGCTTATTCCCTCTGCCTGCCCCGTCGATACTGGCGTGTGTGGGGGGAAAATGCGCCTCCACCGCGGTGGCCGAATGCCCCACGCCGCGACCACACCATATTAAGGCTGGTCGCAGCGCCGCGGCGCAACGTAGCACGGGGGAGGTCGTCCAATTCCCTGATCGCCGGAAACCGTGAGAGTTAACCCCGATAAGAGTTTCTCGGATAAAAACCGGTCGGCCAGGTAACCTCCCCTTCCAGCTCTATGGGTGGGGGAAAATGCGTGCGGGTGTGTTCATGTGAGGTGAGGTGAGGGGGAAGCGGGGTTGGCTCCGTTGCTTGGTGGTGGCGAGGTCGGGGATTTGGGCGCCTGCCGAACGGCTTCATGGCGGCGGCATCACACAAACACGCTCTGATAGTAATCACATCGTCAGGACTGTGTTACGAGGACCCGGTGTGTTGCTATGCTGCACGGGTGTACTGCCAATACGTACAAATAACAATGACCGACTGCCTCCTTGCGCAGGGATGAACCCGGCCCAGCCCGAGTTCATGCGCGCACGCGGCAAGCGCAGGGCGAGGGGGAATGGAGCGGAGTGCGGGCGGTCGAGCGACTCCGACGAGGAGTGGACGGGGAGGAGGAAGAGGAAGGAGGTGGCGATGCACGGAGGACGAAGAGGCAAACGTAAAAGGGCGCTTGCAGACCGTGCAGAGACCCCCTGTAGACTCACACAGAGACCCCCTGTAGACTCACACAGAGACCCCCTGTAGACTCACACAGAGATCCCCTGTAGACTCGCTTGATGAAGCTGGTTGTAATCACCAGTGGAACATCACAGTACCATTCTCGAATTGTGAATTTTGTGGGTTTACTGTCCAACACACAACCGGTTAGTGCTGAACTAGTAACTAATTGGCACGTTTTGTTTACCTGACAAACCTTACGGATTGGCTGCGTCGGGTGGTGACGGGTTTAACGACACATTCATATTTACGCGATATAACCCAAAAAATTAATAATATTGGTCGCGAAATCCTACATGTTAAACTGGTTAGCAGTCTGCGCTATGAACCTGGCGACCCGGGTTCGATTTCTGCTCACGGTCAACACCAGTGACGATTATCTAAACTGGTCCTGGGCCTCCCCTAGGTCAACTCACCTTCAAATTAGTACCTGGTACAGTGTGTAAACATCGCCACTGGGGAGACAAAGGCGGTCGGGCGTGGTGCTGGCCACCGACCCCCTCGTGTACCGTTCTGGCTCACTAACAGCACTTGCCCCTACAGTCTGCTAAGGCTATACGGGGGATATTTGTCTTTGCATATGTTCATGCGTGTCCGCGTGTTCACACGTGTGTGCGTGTGTTCACGGGTATCCATGTGTTCACACACATGGACACGTGCGTGCGTGTGTTTGCGGGTGTTCACGTGTGTGCGTGTGTTCTTCTTATGAACAAAAGAATGAAGGGGGCTTGGGAGCGTGGCGATGAGGTGTGGGAAGCTGTAAGGCCCAGGCTACTTTGGGCTCGCCTTCCCATCAACAGGAGGCGAGGAGTGGTGGTCGTGGTTACTTATGCCCCCACCGAAGACGAACATCCGTGGAGGGATGCAGGCAAAGCCGATGATTCAGATGCCTTCTATGACCTCCTGTCACAGGTACTGGCTAAAGTGGCCACTCGGGATAGAGTCATCTTGTTGGGTGACTTCAATGCCCGAGTTGGTCATGATACTGGCACCTGGTCTGGAGTGATTGGAGGGCATGGGCCAGATCAGTTCAATAACAACGGTAGGAGGCTGCTAGATTTTTGTGCAGCCCATGGGCTTGTAATTACCAACACGCTCTTCCGACATCGGCGCATCCACACAACATCATGGATGCATGCCGGGTCCAAGCAAGAACATCTGCTGGACTACATAGTGATGGACCAGCGGATGCGAACCCATGTCTTTGACACCAGGACCTACTGTACCGTGGAGCTGATCTGCCCTCTGACCATCGACTAGTCATCTGTAAGATGCGCCTGCCATTCTTCCACTCTGGTGGTGGGTGTACACCCAGGACCCCATTCCAACCTAAAGTGGCCTGGTTTTAGTTAGCTGATGAAAGTTGCAAGTGAGAATTTCATCATCGCTTGCGGCTGGGGTTGTGGCATCATCCCCCAGTCTTCCTGATGTCGAGGGTAAATGGGCGAGGTTTAGGACTGTGACTCATGCAGCTGCAATGGCTGCTTTGGGTACGCGTTCCAGAACTCCCCAGAGACCCTGGCTGACAGAGGAGGTGTTCAGGATAGTTGAGAAAAGTGACAGGCCCACTCTCATCGGCTCCAGCATCCCACGTCAGACAATGAGGAGGCTTACCGCAACCTTCGCTCGGAGGGTTGAAGAGCCGTAAGGCGCTGCAAGGATGGGTGGTGGTCACGGGTTGCTGAGGAGATGGAGTCTGCCTCAGTGGCCCACGATCACAAATCACTATTTAACTCCATCAAAAAAGTAACCTCCAGCGCCACACCGATTACCATCATTAGGGGAAAAAACGGTGATCCAATCTCCGACCCCCAGGAACAGGTTTGCAGATTTGCTGAGCATTTCTGTGAGGTCCTGGGGGAGGGGAAATCCCTCAGCCAGGAAAACATCATGGCACAAAGTGGGGATGACCCTGCTGAGGCTGTGGTGCCTCAAATATTGGAAGAAGTCACCCTCTGTGAGTGGCTGGCTGAGATGCCATCTGTTGAGGAAGTACTGAAGGCGATCCGGAGTCTGAGACCAGGAAAGGCACCGGGCAGAGATGATCTCCCAAGCGAAATGATGAGGGAGGGTGGCGTTTGTGCACAGACTGCCCTATATGACATCATAACAACAGTCTGGACCACTGGACGGGTACCGCAGAATTGGAAGGATGCCCTGGTGGTCCCCCTCTTTAAGAAGGGGGACCGTACAGACTGTAACAACTACAAGGGCATCTCACTCCTCAGTGTGCCGGGAAAGGTGCTGGCAAGGATTATTCAACATCGCCTTGCTAGGCACGCTGAGGAGAGGCTTGCGGATCCCCAATGCGGTTTCAGGAAAGGGCGGTCCTGCACAGATGCCATATTTTCTGTCCGTCTGCTACAGCAGAGGTGTAGGGAATTCCAACAAGACCTACATCTCTGCTTTATTGACCTGGTCAAGGCCTATGACACCATCAGTAGGCCTGGGCTCTGGGTTGTTCTTCGTGCTTTCGGAGTCCCTGACCCTCTGCTCACGATCATTAAGGACCTTAATGATGGTGAGCGGGCCCGGGTAAAACTACGTAGCCGGGAGTCGGAGCCATTCCCTGTACACCTTGGGGTGTGACAGGGATGTCCTCTGGCTCCCACATTATTTAACATCAATTTTGACCACGTAGTTCGTGAAGCCTTCAATAGCTGTACCGAGGGAATTTCCATTTGGTAGATATAATGGGAGGCTGATCGATGCCTGGGTGCGATCAAGGGATGGCTCCCTATTGGTCAACCACGTTATGTATGCCGATGATGTAGTAATAGCTGCTCATTCAGAGGAGGAGTTGGAGACGCTGCTGCTGAGACTGGAGAATGCCACTAGGAGGTGGGGCCTTACCATCAGCCCCACCAAAAACTAAGCACCTGCCTGGGTATTTTGTACCATTGGACACTCCACCCATACAACTCACTCCCAATCAGTGATGGGGCAGTTGTGGAGAGAGTGGAGAGTTTCCCATACCTGGGCAGTGTGCTTATGACCGGCTCCAGTTTAACAGCAGAGGTCTCACTCCGAATCAGTCAAGCGGCAATATATTTTCATCGGTTGCGTAACGCTGTGTGGAAGCTACCTGGTCTGTCACTCCGCACGAAGCTTCAGGTTTTCTCGGCCACAGTCATTCCCTTCCTTCTCTACGCTTGCAAAACGTGGACCCCCCTAATGGAGCATCTTCGCTGGTTAGAAACATTTAGGCTGGCCTGCCTACGATCCATCCTGGGTTTTACCAGGCTGGATTGTGTGAGGAGCTCACAAATCCTTGAAAGATCTGGGCAAAGTCCCATCGGTGAGCTCCTCCGGCAGGCAAGGCTGCATTGGCTGGGTCATGTAGCCCGCATGCCCAGCCACTGCATGCCTAAACAGCTTTTGTTCGGCCGGATCGAGGGGGCTAAACAGGCGTGACACGGGCTAGAGAAGAGATGGAGTGATGTGGTACAGGAGGACATGGAGCTGAGTGGACTTGCCAAGGACTGGTACCAGCGGTGTCAAGATCGGGCTCTGTGGAGGAGGCTCGTGAAGGACGCCCTCCAACAACAACGGAGGGCGGAGGAGCGACGCTCACAACAATGAGCGGAGCGCCGGGTGGCAAAAGCACAGCAAGTTGGCACAGTAGGGGGCACAGGTGGTGCATCAGCCATTCATCTCGGTCATCTTAGTCAATCGACCCGTGGCGCCTAGGTCTGCCCCGTGACCTCCTGCCAGCGGGCGTTCTACACTTCACGTGGCCTCAAGGTGCACATGGCCTGGCACAAACGTCGTGGTGATGTCACCGCCAATTAGTGGCGAATGGCTGTTGTTGTTGCGTGTGTTCACGTGCGTGCGCGTGTTCACGTGTGTGTGTTCACGTGTTTGTGCGTGTGTTCACGTGCGCGAGTGTGTTCACGTGCGTGAGTGTGTTCACGTGTGTGTGTGTGTTTACGTGTGTGCGTGTGTTCACGCAGGAGGAGGCAAGGGGGCTGCTTCACGCTGGGCCACCGTGGGAGAGTGGCACGCGAGGGCAGCTCCCAGCAAGCGCAAGGTCTCTGTGCACAGCGCACGGCACTCCTCTCGTTACAGCTGCTGCTGCTGTTGTTGTCTTTAGTTTGTTGTCCTTCCCCCTCACCTCCCATTAACGAGGATGGCTACGTACGGTGCCAAATAAATTCAACGTACATACATACTACTAAACACTGCTATATCAGGGACGTGCGGTCAGGGGAGGCAGGCGAGGCAGAGTCTCGCCTGTCATATACTCCAATGAAAATAGCTGTTACGAAAAGTAAAAAGAAATGTTCCACTGATCCGTGTTATAAATGTAATTTCTGTATAATTCCAATCATTACAGAGAAATAGGAACAGGCACGCGCTTATCGCTGCCTCACGTACAGACGAGACGTACGCCATGATACACTACTATACACTACACTATTCATGACTAAATACTACACGACACACTACACCATGATACACTACTATACACTACACTATACACTAATATACACTACATTACTATACACTAAACACCTAACGTACACACACACAACACGTACACACGAGATGTTCGCCACTCCTCTCTAGGATCCGAGGTGATAGAACAGAACCTGAGAAGGGCGTAGACAAGCGTAGACACCGTGACCACGGTGACAATGACCACTGGGTTTGCAACGCGCGCAGACTCCACGAGACGGGCAGACGTCGATGTCCCATCGCAGACTCGGAGGTTACGGAGCTCAGAGTCACGGTTCACTGAGCTACAGAGTCGCTCTTTTTTTCACAAGCGGTACCCGGCTATCACAACTCATAGCTCAACGAAGCGGCTGATATCATCATCACGTGGATATTTCTAGCGGGAGTCAAATACTCTAAAACGAGCGATCCGGATTCTCAATGTGACGGGAAAAACCGAAGGACCCAGAGAAAAATCCACGCAGCGACCACCACATCAGGGTCAGGATCGAACACATGACCTCCTGCGTACCAGGCGAGGTAGTTAACATCTCCTAGCTACCATGCCCCCTCTGCATGGCACTCTGGTACAACGTCTGGGCTTATTATTATAATTAGTTTATTCATTAGTTTAGTTGTGAAGAGGCTTGGCCTGCCATACCCACCGAGGTTCAGCATGACGGCATGGTTCTGCTTGATGTATGGAATCAGATTTACAGAATCAGAATATCAGAATTAGAATATGTATTGTACTGGAGGAATCCGATGAGGTGTCAGGGTCGAGATCGAACCCGCGACCTCCTGCGTACCAGGCGAGGGAGTTAACATCTCCTAGCCACCGCTGGTCACCGCACCAACTCCGCCCCCCACACCCCCTCCGCCCCCTCACCCCACCGCCCCCTCCGCTCAGACTAAAGCGGAAGCCCTGGAGTACGTGTGGAGCATCTTGCAGGGCGTGGAGGAGGAGGAGCAGCAGCAGGAGGAGGAGTTCAGGGGATTTGAGCTGAGGGAGGTGCACAAGGCCAGGATGGCGATGTTCAGGCTGGAGCGCAGAGCCACCGCCTGCAAGGAGGCCCTGAGGGTGGCGCTCCAGAGGATACGTGGAGGTGCGTAGCCTGCAGCGGTGATTTCTATTCACACCAGAACTCCACACTCCCCTCTATTCCCACCGGAACTCCACACTCCCATCTATTCTCACCGGAACTCCACACTCCCCTCTATTCTCACCAGAACTCCACACTCCCCTCTATTCTCACTGGAACGTCACACTCCCTGCTATTCCCACCAGAACTCCACACTCCCCTCTATTCTCACCAGAACTCCACACTCCCCTCTATCCTCACCGGAACTCCGCACTCTTCTGTGGCTGCTGATGGAAGTCGCCACTGCTGTTGATGCTACTGCTACATGTGCTCCTGTCAGTGCTGCTGCTGGTACTGATGCAGCCTATAAACTAAGCGATGTTTCTTTTACCAGGGTAAGCCGCACTGAGCTGTGTAGATGTTTTTCAGAAGCGACCTGGCTATCACAAATGAGAGCTCAACGAAGTGACTTGTCATCATCATCATTACGTGGACATTTACAGCAGCCAAATACTCTCAACACGTGACGTTGATTCTAAATGTCGAGGGGAAAAACCGGAGGACCCGGAGAAAAATCCACGCAACCACGGGGAGGTACAACATGCAAACTCCAAATATACAGCGTGGGTCGTCAGGGTCGGGATCGCACCCACGACCTCCTGTATTCCAGGCGAGGGAGTTAACATCTCGCCACAGAGGAGAGAGAGACACGCAGACTCCAAATATACAGCAGGCTTCGTCAGGGTCGGGATGGAATCTGCGACCTCCCGTATACCAGGAGAGGTAGTCAACATCTCGCCGTGTTTGCCTGCAGGCTCCTCCGTGCCGCCGGCCTCCGCCCAGGCTGTGGCGGTGTCGCGCAGCGCTCGCTCTCGCTACGGCCTGCGCCCGCGCGAGAGGAAAGTCTACACAGAGGTGGAGGAGCCCCAGGACGACGACTTCTTCTGTGAGACCCCCTGCTCCCTCTCACTCTCTCTCTCACTTTCTCACTCTCTCTCTCACACTGTCACTTTCTCACACTCTCTCTCTCACTGTCACTTTCTCACACTCTCTCTCTCACTGTCACTTTCTCACACTCTCTCTCACACTGTCACTTTCTCACTCTCTCTCTCTCACCAGAACCAGCACACACAGAGACCAGAACCACTACACACAGAAACCAGAAACCACTGCACACAGAGACCAGAACCACCACACACAGAGACCAGAACCACCACACACAGAGACCAGAACCACCACACACAGAGACCAGAACCACCACACACAGAGACCAGAACCACTACACACAGAAACCAGAACCACTACACACAGAGACCAGAACCACTACACACAGAGACCAGAACCACCACACACAGAGACCAGAACCACCACACACAGAGACCAGAACCACTACACACAGAAACCAGAACCATTGCACACAGATACCAGAACCACCACACACAGAGACCAGAACCACTACACACAGAAACCAGAACCACTACACACAGAGACCAGAACCACCACACACAGAGACCAGAACCACTACACACAGAGACCAGAACCACCACACACAGAGACCAGAACCACCACACACAGAGACCAGAACCACTACACACAGAAACCAGAAACCACTGCACACAGAGACCAGAACCACCACACACAGCGACCAGAACCACCACACACAGAGACCAGAACCACCACACACAGAGACCAGAACCACTACACACAGAAACCAGAACCACTACACACAGAGACCATAACCACCACACACAGAGACCAGAACCACTACACACAGAGACCAGAACCACCACACACAGAGACCAGAACCACCACACACAGAGACCAGAACCACTACACACAGAAACCAGAACCATTGCACACAGATACCAGAACCACCACACACAGAGACCAGAACCACCACACACAGAGACCAGAACCACCACACACAGAGACCAGAACCACTACACACAGAAACCAGAACCACTACACACAGAGACCAGAACCACCACACACAGAGACCAGAACCACCACACACAGAGACCAGAACCACCACACACAGAGACCAGAACCACTACACACAGAAACCAGAACCATTGCACACAGATACCAGAACCACCACACACAGAGACCAGAACCACCACACACAGAGACCAGAACCACTACACACAGAAACCAGAACCACTACACACAGAGACCAGAACCACCACACACAGAGACCAGAACCACTACACACAGAGACCAGAACCACCACACACAGAGACCAGAACCACCACACACAGAGACCAGAACCACTACACACAGAAACCAGAACCACTGCACACAGAGACCAGAACCACTACACTCAGAGACCAGAACCACCACACACAGAGACCAGAACCACCACACACAGAGACCAGAACCACCACACACAGAGACCAGAACCACCACACACAGAGACCAGAACCACCACACACAGAGACCAGAACCACTACACTCAGAGACCAGAACCACCACACACAGAGACCAGAACCACCACACACAGAGACCAGAACCACCACACACAGAGACCAGAACCACCACACACAGAGACCAGAACCACCACACACAGAGACCAGAACCACCACACACAGAGACCAGAACCACTACACACAGAGACCAGAACCACCACACACAGAGACCAAAACCACTACACACAGAGACCAGAACCACTACACACAGAAACCAGAACCACCACACACAGAGACCCTGGGCCTCCCCTTGGTCGACTCGGCATCAAATGAGCACCCGGTACGGAGCGTGGTTCCAGCCACACCACCCCCACGTAGCGCCCAGTGCCGGCCCTTAATAGGCGCTCGCTAACGGCGCCCACCCCGCCCCCGCGTCTGCCCGCGCAGGTTCGTCAACTGCGCGAGGAATGAGCAGGAGCAGAACCTGGTGGCCTTCCAGCACCGGGGGCAGATTTACTACCGCACGTTCCGTGCCGTGGGGCCCGGCTCTGAGCTGCTGGTCTGGTACGGCGAGGAGTTCGCCCAGGAGCTGGGCATCGCCTGCGAGGCCGGGCCCTCGCGACGCCGCAGCAGGAGCAGCAGCAACGAGATGGCTCCCAGGGCCACCGCCAGAGACCTGCAGCCCGTGCAGCCTCCACCAAGCGAGGAACACTGTGAGCACCGCTCACCAGAGACTCGCCACTGCTCACCAGACTATAGCCACCACTCACCAGAGATGATAGCCACCACTCACCAGATATGATTGCCACCACTCACCAGAGATTATAGCCACCACTCACCAGAGATGATAGCCACCACTCACCAGAGACGATAGCCACCACTCACCACAGATTATAGCCACCACTCACCAGAGATGATAGCCACCACACACCAGAGATTATAGCCACCACTCACCAGAGATGATTGCCACCACTCACCAGAGATGATAGCCACCACTCACCAGAGATGATAGCCACCACTCACCAGAGATGATAGCCACCACTCACCAGAGATTATAGCCACCACTCACCAGAGATGATAGCCACCACTCACCAGAGATGATAGCCACCACTCACCAGAGATTATAGCCACCACTCACCAGAGATGATAGCCACCACTCACCAGAGACGATAGCCACCACTCACCAGAGATTATAGCCACCACTCACCAGAGATGATAGCCACCACACACCAGAGATGATAGCCACCACTCACCAGAGATGATTGCCACCACTCACCAGAGATGACAGCCACCACTCAACAGATATGATAGCCACCACTCACCAGAGATGATAGCCACCACTCACCAGAGATGATAGCCACCACTCACCAGAGATGATAGCCACCACTCACCAGAGATGATAGCCACCACTCACCAGTGATGATAGCCACCACTCACCAGAGATGATAGCCACCGCTCACCAGAGATGATAGCCACCACTCACCAGAGATGATAGCCACCACTCACCAGGGATGATAGCCACCACTCACCAGAGATGATAGCCACCACTCACCAGAGATGATAGCCACCACTCACCAGTGATGATAGCCAGAGATGATAGCCACCACTCACCAGAAATGACAGCCACCACTCACCAGAGATGATAGCCACCACTCACCAGAGATGATAGCCACCACTCACCAGAGATGATAGCCACCACTCACCAGGGATGATAGCCACCACTCACCAGAGATGATAGCCACCACTCACCAGAGATGATAGCCACCACTCACCAGAGATGATAGCCACCACTCACCAGAGATGATAGCCACTGCTCACCAGACTATAGCCACCACTCACCAGAGATGATAGCCACCACTCACCAGAGATGATAGCCACCACTCACCAGAGATGATAGCCACCACTCACCAGAGATGATAGCCACCACTCACCAGAGATGATAGCCACCACTCACCAGAGATGATAGGCACCACTCACTAGAGATGATAGCCACCACTCACCAGAGATGATAACCACCGCTCACCAGAGACGATAGCCACCACTCAACAGAGATGATAGCCACTGCTCACCAAAGATAATAGCCACCACTCCCAATAGATGATAGCATCCACTCACCAGAGATGATAGCCACCACTCACCAGAGATGATAGCCACCACTCAACAGAGATGATAGCCACTGCTCACCAAAGATAATAGCCACCACTCCCCATAGATGATAGCATCCACTCACCAGAGATGATAGCCACCACTCACCAGAGACGATAGCCACCACTCACCAGAGATGATAGCCACCACTCAACAGAGATGATAGCCACTGCTCACCAAAGATAATAGCCACCACTCCCCATAGATGATAGCCACCACTCACCAGAGATGATAGCCACCACTCACCAGAGATGATAGCCACCACTCACCAGAGATGATAGCCACCACTCACCAGAGATGATAGCCACCACTCAACAGAGATGATAGCCACTGCTCACCAAAGATAATAGCCACCACTCCCCATAGATGATAGCATCCACTCACCAGAGATGATAGCCACCACTCACCAGCGATGATAGCCTCCACTCACCAGAGATGATAGCCACCACTCACCAGAGATGATAGCCACCACTCACCAGAGATGATAGCCACCACTCACCAGAGATGATAGCCACCACTCACCAGAGATGATAGCCACCACTCACCAGAGATGATAGCCACTGCTCACCAGACTATAGCCACCACTCACCAGAGATGATAGCCACCACTCACCAGAGATGATAGGCACCACTCACTAGAGATGATAGCCACCACTCACCAGAGATGATAACCACCGCTCACCAGAGACGATAGCCACCACTCACTAGAGATGATAGCCACCACTCACCAGAGATGATAGGCACCACTCACTAGAGATGATAGCCACCACTCACCAGAGATGATAACCACCGCTCACCAGAGACGATAGCCACCACTCAACAGAGATGATAGCCACTGCTCACCAAAGATAATAGCCACCACTCCCCATAGATGATAGCATCCACTCACCAGAGATGATAGACACCACTCACCAGAGATGATAGCCACCACTCAACAGAGATGATAGCCACTGCTCACCAAAGATAATAGCCACCACTCCCCATAGATGATAGCATCCACTCACCAGAGATGATAGCCACCACTCACCAGAGATGATAGCCACCACTCACCAGAGATGATAGCCACCACTCACCAGAGACGATAGCCACCACTCACTAGAGATGATAGCCACCACTCAACAGAGATGATAGCCACTGCTCACCAAAGATAATAGCCACCACTCCCCATAGATGATAGCCACCACTCACCAGAGATGATAGCCACCACTCACCAGAGATGATAGCCACCACTCACCAGAGATGATAGCCACCACTCACCAGAGATGATAGCCACTGCTCACCAGACTATAGCCACCACTCACCAGAGATGATAGCCACCACTCACCAGAGATGATAGGCACCACTCACTAGAGATGATAGCCACCACTCACCAGAGATGATAACCACCGCTCACCAGAGACGATAGCCACCACTCACTAGAGATGATAGCCACCACTCACCAGAGATGATAGGCACCACTCACTAGAGATGATAGCCACCACTCACCAGAGATGATAACCACCGCTCACCAGAGACGATAGCCACCACTCAACAGAGATGATAGCCACTGCTCACCAAAGATAATAGCCACCACTCCCCATAGATGATAGCATCCACTCACCAGAGATGATAGACACCACTCACCAGAGATGATAGCCACCACTCAACAGAGATGATAGCCACTGCTCACCAAAGATAATAGCCACCACTCCCCATAGATGATAGCATCCACTCACCAGAGATGATAGCCACCACTCACCAGAGATGATAGCCACCACTCACCAGAGATGATAGCCACCACTCACCAGAGATGATAGCCACCACTCACCAGAGACGATAGCCACCACTCACTAGAGATGATAGCCACCACTCAACAGAGATGATAGCCACTGCTCACCAAAGATAATAGCCACCACTCCCCATAGATGCTAGCATCCACTCACCAGAGATGATAGCCACCACTCACCAGAGATGATAGCCACCACTCAACAGAGATGATAGCCACTGCTCACCAAAGATATTAGCCACCGCTCCCCATAGATGATAGCATCCACTCACCAGAGATGATAGCCACCACTCACCAGAGATGATAGCCACCACTCACCAGAGATGATAGCCACCACTCAACAGAGATGATAGCCACTGCTCACCAAAGATAATAGCCACCACTCCCCATAGATGATAGCATCCACTCACCAGAGATGATAGCCACCACTCACCAGAGATGATAGCCACCACTCACCAGAGATGATAGCCACCACTCACCAGAGATGATAGCCACCACTCACCAGAGATGATAGCCACCACTCACAACAGATGATAGCCACCACTCACCAGAAATGATAGCCACCACTCACCAGAGATGATAGGCACCACCCACACTGATAAGGTGCAAATGAGTAACTGGTGTGGTGTGTAGTAGTAAACATCGCCACTGGGGAGACAAAGGCGGCCATGTGTGGTGCTGGCCACCCTCCCACTCATGTGCCATGCTGGCTTTCATACAGTGAGGGAAAAAAGGATTTGATCCCCTGCTGATTTTGTACGTTTGCCCACTGGCAAAGAAATGACCAGTCTATAATTTTAATGGTAGGTTTATTTGAACCGTGAGAGAAAGAATAACAACAACAAAAAATCCAGAAAAACGCATGTCAAAAATGTTATAAATTGATTTGCATTTTTTTAAAATCAGCAGGGGATCAAACACTTTTTTCCCTCACTGTAGGTGCCCGATAACAGCACTTGTCCCAAAAGTATATACAGGCTATATGGGGGTTCTTCGTCTTTGTGTGTATATATAATGGAGCCCACTGCACTACGAACCCGGCCACCTGAGTTCGATTCCCACTCACGGCCAACGTCAGTGGTGAATATTTAGGCCTCCCCTAGGCTGACTCGGCCTCAAATGAGTACCTAGCTTAAACGTGGAAACATCGCCACTGGAGAGACAAAGGCGGCCGGGCCTGGTGTTGGCCACCTACTCCCTCGTGTGCCATGCCGGCCTTCATAGGTACTCGCAAACAGCACTTGCCCAACAGTCTGATATGGCTGTTGGGGACCTTTACCTTTGTATGTACACACACACATGTGCAAGAGTGTTCATGTATCGGTGTTGGTGTGTGCGCGTGTGTCTTGTGCGTCTGGGATGACGCAGGTGGAGTGGGTGTGGAGGTGACAAGGCTGCCGTGTCCTGCCTGCAACCGTCAGTTCATCTGCCGCTCGAGTCTACAGTATCACGTGCAGAGCAGACACCCCACTAAGCCCAGTAACAAAAGTCATCAGTGTGACCAATGTCCATTCAGCACAGACTACAAGTGTAGCTTGAAGATGCACCAGAGAACACACACGGGAGAGAAGCGGTTCAAGTGCACCGTGTGTGAGAAGGCGTTTTCACAACTACCAACTCTTCACAGCCACCAGAGAACACACACGGGAGAGAAGCCGTTCAAGTGCACCGTGTGTGAGAAGGCGTTTTCACAACTACCAAATCTTCACAGCCACCAGAGAACACACACGGGAGAGAAGCCGTTCAAGTGCACCGTGTGTGAGAAGGCATTTGCACATTTACAACATCTTCACAGCCACCAGAGAACACACACGGGAGAGAAGCCGTTCAAGTGCACCGTGTGTGAGAAGGCGTTTGCAGACTCATCACATCTTCACAGCCACCAGAGAACACACACGGGAGAGAAGCCGTTCAAGTGCACCGTGTGTGAGAAGGCGTTTGCAGACCTATCAAATCTTCGCGTGCACCAGAGAACACACACCGGCCAGGATGCATTTTCTCCTTCCCGTGGAAACAGAAAAGTCAGCCATCCTGAGCAAATCGTGCACTGCGCCGAGCTGTGAATTAGTTTTAAACAACAGGCCACGTGATTAGCCGAGGCTGTGCCACCCTTGAAACTGATTTTGAATGTGAACACGGAAACCTACGGATCCTCCTACACCTGACTCACACTCTGTGGGGGGTGGGAGATTAAACCGACCCGGCCACCCCTCGATTGCAAGTGCGGAGTTCTAGGTCCCAACCACTGCACTTCCCTCCCCATCACCTGGGGGTCCCCGTGTGTGTGAGTGTGCAGAGTCCCCCGTGCAGAGCTGCACTGTTGTTACCCTAGAGGGGGGCACCGCAGGGCGATCCACCTACAGACACCCCAGTCTGCACGTCTCCCGCCGGTCTCCATGCGCACCGCGTGCCGTCTCGTAGCCCTGCCCCGTGCGACGTACGTACAGTACTTACAGTACGTACCCATCCAGCGGTAGACTGAACCGCGGCTGATGACGAAGGTGGCATCCGCTCACAAATCTCCGAACACTCAGTCCAGAGGTCGCAACCGGGTACCCGATACCCGTACCCTACGGTCACTGGTGAGTAACTGTCACTCATTTCCCAACGTCTTGTCTCTTCTCACAATTCAAGTTCCTAGAATCAACCCACCCGCGCCTGCAACATGGCTTCACCCCAGAGGTCGCAATCAGGTACCCGATACCGGGTACGGGTACCTGTTTACGACGCTGGTGCGGCCAGGTACGGGTAAGGAATCAAAACCCGTTTGCGACCTCTGACTCAGTACCGTAGCCCCGAGCCATCGCTTGTGCGCTATTCACTTTGCTGCTGAGAGGAAAGCTACGGGGTGGAGGTGGGGGGGTTGCTATGAGAGGACATCTGTGGAACGGCTGGAGATCTGCGAAGAAGAGCTTCATAGCTCATCGGATTCCTGCGGTCTGAAAAAATATTCCGAGAGGGCGTTGGGAGGGGGGGTGTAGGTATGAGTGGGGCATCTGCACTTGGATCACCCTGCGTGTTGTTGCTGCCTCCCCCGTTGAAAATGTTCCCAGCGTGAACTTCACCCTTTGCTGTTGCGACGACGCCGCGTGCCGTGCGTGAACGTCGTCGTCGGAACAACAAAACGCAGTAAAAACTAAAGTAACTTTATCGGTACCGAGGCTCCCACGGCCACGCGGGGCAGGGAGTGTGGCACAGTTTTGGCGCCGGCTAGCGCAGAGTGGCGGCGGTCGTGTCGCTACGCTTCTCTGCGGTGAGCAACGACGTCTTTATAACAACAACAGCAACAGTGCTGCTGTTGCCACTGCTGCGGTGAACGGTGACAGCCACCCCGTGACCTGTGACCCCCACCCCGTGAACGGTGACACTCACCCCGTGAACGGTGACACCCCATGGGTGGAAAAAACCCGATTTTTCCAGCTGCAGGCATCGGGTTTTTTCTTTAACACAATTAAACCCGATTTCGGGGAATTAAAACCTGGTTTAATGAATACGAAACTCTGATAGGCTTAGGCTGCTTCCTCGTCGGTGCTGCTATGGTACTCGGGGCCGTCGGGCACGGGGTAGTCGTAGAATGCGGCGGGCAGGTTGGTCTTAATGAACACGAGCTTCTCCACAATCGTGGGCGCCATTGAGTTCCTTAGCTTGGAATGGATGAAGCCCATCGTTGAGAAGTGCGGTTCTGCAATTAGAACCAATGAAACCGGATTTCTCTCAATCTTAGATGATCGGGTTTAATATAAAAAGACAATTAAACCCGATTGTAAAAAACCCGACTGTGCCACCCTTGTGACACCCACCCCGTGAACGGTGACACCCACCCTGTGAACGGTGACACCCATCGACCCTGCAACTCTGCAGACGTCTCGGACGCGGGAAAGGGTTGAGAGATTTTCTGCGTCGTCCCGGTTGCTCGCGTGATGTCGCACGGTGGTGGCGCGCGTTGACTCTTGCACGTTTAAGAAAGTTGAGCGTTAGTTTGTGATTCTGTTTAAAATGATATATATACATACTTAAACTAACAAACATTATCTTGGGATTCTACCAAGTAAGGTCCAACTGGATACGTAGTAGCTCTTTTATCAGACGCGACCACCTGGCCATCACAAATGAAAGCTCAACGAAGTGGCGTATCATTGTGTGGACATTTATAGCGGTCAAATACTCTGATTGCGTGATCTCGATTCTAAATGTCGAGGGGAAAACCGGAGGACCTGGAGAAAAATCCACACGACCACGGGGAGAGAAAGATACACGCAAACTCAAAATATACAGCAGGCGTCTGGGTCGGAATCAAACACACGATCTCCTGTATACCAGGAGAGGTAGTTAAAATCTCAACATGCGTTCAGAGTATTTGGCTGCTGTAAATGTCACGTGATAAGCCACTTCGGTGCGCTGCTGTCATTTGTGATAGCCAGGTCGCTACTACACAGCTCTGTGGGGGCCTTACCTGGAAAAGTAAAGTGAAGTGAAAAACTAAAATCTACTGTATTCTTGGTTCTTTCGGTAAAGTCACGTAGAAGGGAAATAATAAAATAATAAAAATGTAAGAATAAAATTAACACGACGTTTCGATTGCAACACAAGCAATCATCATCAGGTTATGAAAACCACAGCAAAAAAAATATTGCTGTGGTTTTCACACCTGATGATGATTGCTTGTGTTGCAATCGAAACGTCGTGAGAATTTTATTGTTTTATTATTTCCCTTCAACGTGACTCTACCGAAAGAACCAAGAAGATGAATCCCTGCAGTCACGAAAGCTTTAAATCGAAATTTTACATCGACTTTGATTGCTTCAACCAGAAAAACTGTAATAATAACCCTAAAATGCTTCAATTGATCAAATTGAGATGCTTCCATTTATACGCTTTTTAGATATCGATTGAAGTTCGTTGTCGGCTGTTCTCTGTATGGATAATTGCCTTTGAACTTTCACATGGGGCATATTCTGCCCTGGAGGGGGTATGGTCTGGACCAGTCTAGTTTAAACCCCCGGGTATAGTTTAGCCTAGGACACTTCATCCCCCCGGGTATACTCTGGCCTGGGCCAAACTATACCCGGGTTTAATCGGGGCAATGGGTTATTGTAGCCTGTTACACCGGTATCTCCAGGAGGTCGGAGCGACTTGCTCTGTGGTGACACTTTTCCGTGACACAGGTTTGGTTTTTGTTGTTGTTGAGTTAGAGATCTCGTAAACATCAACATTGTGTCGTTAACCCACCACCACCCACCACCATCGCCTGACACGGCCAATCAGTCAGGGTTTGTCACGTAAACGAAACGTGCCAATTGGTTTCCAACTTCAGCACACACAGCGCTTGTGTGTGTCGGGGAGAGTGAACCCACAACAGCATTTACAATTCGAGTACCGGTAACGTTTCGCCGGTGATTACAAACAACGGCGACCGGTTTCATCGGGCGATGTGCCAGGATTGTGATCCAACGCCATCTAACCCAGCAGCAGCAGCAGCGACGACAACAAAAACCTTCATCACAGACACCGCTGGTCCGCAAGAGACTGCGCGTGGCGCTTTGTGTTGCCGTTGCCACGAATCGTCGAAGCGCGTTCACGATCTGTTGTTCTCCTGTAACGCGGTGGTCATTTCGATTTAAAGCTTCTTTCGTGACTGCAGGGATCCATCTTCTTGGTTCTTTCGGTAAAGTCACGTAGAATGGAAATAATAAAAATAAAACAATAAAGTATTTTTTTATTTTTATTGTTTTATTATTTAATAATACAAATGTTATTTAATAATAAAATAAATTTTACAATAAAGTTTTTTATTATTTAATAATACAATTTTTATTTAATAATAAACTAATAAAAATAAAACAATACATTTATTGTGACTTTACCGAAAGAACCAAGAAGAAGTGGTCATTGTTACGTTCCTGAAGAACACCGCGTTGTGGAGAAATAATATAAACTATAGGGGGTGAAGCGTGGTCCGCGACAACACGCGAGATGATGGGTGAGACAGAGGCCGGACTACGACTGAGGCGCGTGGGTAGCGTCTAGAAGCAGCATCCAGCAGCATCCCAATGCCTCCTCGCGTGATGCCGCTACGCCGAGGCAGCCGCACGGAGAACCGCTTGTTCCTACTCGCGTTGCGACCTCGTTCCGTTCGCTCGCTCGCGTTGCGTCCAATCCGCATCCGCGTCACAAACAGCGTGTTCCCCTACACATCATTCACGGCGTTATATCATCCAATCGGCGTTGTTCAAACTAACACGCGGCGTTGTAGGAGAACCAGACTGTGCCGTTGTCTTCTGCTGTTTAACGCAGAGGCCGCATCGACCGTTCCCAATAGTCGCTGTAGCCACTGCGAGCCCCAAGCTGTCGGCTCCCGGCTCTTAAACTCCCCCCCCCCCCCCCCTGGCGTTATTGTGGTGCCACAGCGACGGGGCCGCTCTGCCGAGCCAGGGAGCCGCCCGGCTTCCCCCACCGCACTGCCCCCCATCACCCGCCCCACATAAGCACACACCCGCACGCATCCCCCCCCCCCCCCCATAGAGCTGGAAGGGAAGGTTACCTGATCGACCGGTTTTTATCCGAGAGACCCTTATCGGGATTAATTCTCACGGTTTCCGGCGATCAGGGAATTGGATGACCTCCCCCGTGCTACGTGGTACCGCGGTGCTGCTGCCGGCCTTAATATGGTGTGGTCGCGGCGTGGGGCATTCGGCCACCGCGGTTGAGGCGCATTTCCCCCCACACACACCCCCACGAGTCGACGGGGCAAGCAGGGGAGGCACGAGACAGCATGAATAGCGGGGTCACAGGGGCTGTTGCGCATAGTCATGGGGGGTTGGGATAATTGCGCTTGAGCGCGCAGGCCCCATTGTTAGGAAGGGTAAGGGAGTAATTAGGATGTACGCCGCCAACGTCGCTCACTGATTAGCATATCAACAGCGCCTGGGGACTGCCGTGCGCGGGCTTGGGGTGCACGAGCCCATTGTTCAGCGCAGCATCCCCTTTGGAGGTAGGGAGGATAAATAGAGGAGCGCAGAGGGGAAATCGCTCTCTTACTCCAGCGCCAGGCGACCAGACGCAGCTCGAGCCAGCGACCCGGACGTCCGTGCGACGCACCGAGGCACGCGGTTAACACAAGGATCAGCGGACCGCCGTGGACACTTAACAGTGAGTAAGAAGGTGACTTAGAATCATAGCCGATAAATAGGGAATAGGTGCCGGTTTAGTGGAATAGGCCAGCCTCGTCGACTCACTAATTCAACATTAGTTATCAGGTAATAAATCATTAATAGCGAAGCGTGGTCTCGCGTGATCTTGTCGTGCAGTGTGAGCGTGTGGGAACGCGTGTGGTACTGTGTGTGCGTAAGCTCGCAGCGTGCGTAATCGGCGTCCCCCAGGTGCGCGATCATAGCGTAATCGGCTGCGCATTGTTGTACGGTTTATCTCGCGCGCACGGCGGCGGCGACTTTAGTCGTTGTGTCGGCGTGTGCCCCGCTGGCGTGTGCTCGTTACGTGTTATAAGTGTGAACGCGTGTGGTACGGGGTATGCGTAAGCTCTCGTCGTGCGAAATCGGCGTACCCCAGGTGCGCGATTGTAACGTGAGCGGCCAGCGCGGCGCAGAGAAGCGCAAGAGTGAGTGCCGTACGGAGCTGTGTGTGTGGGTGTGCGCGTACGTAATTAATCATGCCTGCTACGCGGACCCGCGGTGGGGTGGAACCCTCGGGCGACGGCTCCCACACCATGGGTGAGGAACTTAGCAGCGGTTCGCTTAGCAGCGGGGGGGCGATTGATGATGCTAGCCCGGCCGTTAGCATTATCGAGGGAGGGATCTCGGGGGCTAGCGACCCCCACAAATTGGTGTCGGAAGCGGTACGGACCCCCGCGTTACCTCACGCTAAAATAAGA